TTACCTCGCTGGGGCTCGCCTGAGTCTTCGTCGGTGCGTAGCGGCAGGAGCTGACGTGTACGCGGTTGACATTCGGGAAGCCGAGGCAGCAGACAAAGGGGGGGATTTACAAAAACTGCTAGCCGACGTACCGGATGATCTGGCAGCAATACTGAAGCAGTACAGTGACATTTTCCCGGACGACCTACCGACGGGACTGCCACCTCAGCGACCGCACGACCACAGGATAGAGCTAGAATCGAGGGCACAGCTGACAGTACAGCGACAGTTCCGAGTGACCCAGCCCGAACCGGATGAACTGAGGAAGCAGCTGGATTATCTACTCGAGAAGGAGTTTATTCGCCCGAGTTCGTCACCCTTCGCAGCACCGATACTGTTCACACCGAAAAAAGGACGGGGGTTTTCGCATGTGCATCGACTACCGCGCCCTGAACAGGGTTATCATTAAATCCCATTACCCCATCCCGCGAGCCGACGAACTGACTGACCAACTGCGAACACCCTGGGTTTTCTCGAAAATCGACCTTCGAGGAGGCTACCACCAGATCCGAGTCAACCCACCCGACGGCTCAAAAACAGCCTTCCGAATACGCTACGGATCCTTCGAATACACCATTATGCCCTTCGGACTGACAAACGCCCCCGCCACTTTTCAAACGACGATGAACGAAGCCTTCTGACCGCTTTTAGATAAGTGCGTCATCGTGTACCTCAACGACATGCTGATTTACAGCCCAGACAGAGGACAGCACCTACAGGACATCGAACCAGTTTAAAAGATACTGAGTTACGCCTACTCACAAAAGCCTCTAAGTGTGAGTTTTTACAGGACAAACTGGAGTTTTTTAGACACATCATTTCAACTGAAGGAGTGGAAATAGACCTGAAGAAGATCGTGACGATTCAAGCGTGGCACGCACCGACAAATTTGACCGAGCTGCCGAGCTTTTGGGGATTCGTCAACTACGAGCGCCGGTTCGTCCCCGACACGGCGAAGCTGACTACTCCGTAGACCGACCTGCTGAGGAAGGGGGTTGAGTACACGTGGGGGGAGAAAGAGCAAGCTGCCTTCTCGGCCCTCAAACAAATTTTGTGCTCGCCGCCCGTGCTTCACATCACAGATCCGCACCGTCCATTCGAGCTCGTCACCGACGCTAGCAACATCGCCGTGGGAGCAGTACTGTTGCAGGACTTCGGGAACTGCCTCCAGCCAATCGCGTACGAGTCCCGCAAGCTTCACCTGCCCGAACGCAACTACCCGATACACGACCGCGAGATGCTGGCGATCGTGCACGCGTTCAAGGTGTGGCGATGTTACCTCATGGGAGCAGACGTGACAATATGGACAGACCACTGATCACTACAGTACCTTCGCGCCCAACCGAATCTCAACCCGCGACAGATCCGCTGGTTGGACTATCCGGAGTCACGTAAACGAAAGGCGCATCAAATATCGACGCACTCACACGCCCCACAGACGAACTCCACGTCATCCTACTCGCCCAAACCAACCCGCTATTAACAAGCCTATTCATCCACGGATACCGCACCTACCCATTTTTCACGACCGGAAATTCGCAGCACCTGGCAGAGGCAAAGGGAGCCTATTACGTAAAACAGCCACCAACCGCATTTGGGTACCCGCGTACTCACCACTGAGGGAGCTGTTACTGCAGGAGGCACACAACGGGATTACCTCGGGACATTTCGGGGTAGAAAAAACAGCGGTACTACTACTGGCCGGAGCTGTTGACCGACGTACAGCACCACGTGGGCTCATGCCCTACGTGTCAGGTGACGAAGAGCTCGCGAAAAAAAAAAAAAACAGGCGGGTCAATTGTAGCCGATTCCACTGCCCGAGCGCGCCTGGCAGCAGGTTACCATGGATTTCGTCATAGGGTTACGTTCGAACCCTGGGGGTAACGACGCTGTTATGGTCGTCGTTGACAGATTGACGATGATGGCACACTTCGCTGTGTGCAAGAAGTCGATCTCAGCCGAAGAAACAGGGCGCCTGTTCATCGCAACCGTCGTACGCCTGCACGGGATACCAGCCGCGATGATCAGCGACCGCGACACACAGTTTGCTCGTCGTAACCTCTGGGAGTAATCCGGAACTAGACTACAGGTTGCTCGTCGTACCACCCCGAGACTGACGGTCAAACGGGGCGGACGAATCAGACGATGGAGCAGTTGATTCGTGCCACGTGCGACGACCCGACAACTTGGGAGCAGCAGCTGCCGCTGATCGAGTTTGCGTACAACAACGCCACGTCAGCGACGACGCAGCAGTCTCCGTTTTACATGAACTACGGGCAAAATCCAACAGTGCCCATGACGCCGAGTCCGGACAACCTTACGCCACGTGCACAACAATTCGTCGAGATTCTGCAGGCTGCCCGAACGAGAGCCATAGAAGCAATAAAAAAAGCCAACGTCATCGCTAAGCGCAACGCCGTCCAGTCACATACCAATCAGGGGATTACGTACTACTTGACACGCAAAATCTGCGATTGCCCGACGTACCAAAACTTCGACCTCGCTACTGTGGCCCATTCCAAATCAGCCACTTGATTACGCCAGTAACCGCCCATCTACTGTTACCGACCGACTGGTACATCAGCCCATCATTCTACGCCAGCCTGCTTCGCCCCTACATCCCAACCACAAGCCAACTGCTTCGTCACCGCCCGCCATCCATGACTCGCCCTGCATCGGAGCCGATCATCGAGCCCGAGAAGATTCTGCGCCATCGGATTCGATACCCCACGGGAATCAGGGGGATCGAGTTCCTCGTTCGCTGGAAGGATCGCACGCCAACTGAGGACAGCTGGGTGCCCCAGACCAACATCGAAAACCACCCTACCCTGCAAGTGTGCCTGAGGAGCCGGGGTTTCCGCGATTTACACGCACCCACGTAGCGTAGGGGACTTCTTGAGGGTGGGGGTAGTGTAAGGAATTTTCTTGACATTCCTTACTGAGATCGGCAACACCGCGTACAGCAGAGCAGCAGCCGTTGTTCGCTCGTTACAGCTAATGGGGCTTTGCCAACTTCGCGCGCACTGTTTCACCAAGCCATGCACCGCTGGCCCGGCCGTGTCGGCCCATGCTTCGGGACTAGCCCGAACCTCGATGCCAGCCTAGCACTAGCTAGCTCGCACGCACCGCGTTACCGTTTGCATGTTTCACGTTCACGCATGCCTTAGCTCACATGTTGTACTCGTTTGACACCTTAGTGCAATCTTAGCTACCTCGATTCATTGTACCCGTAACAGTTACACATTCGAAATTCGAGAGACAATAGAGGCCAACTCGAGAGTCTGTCGGTCATCCAATAAAAAGACGCCGTTACTAACGGCCATGTTCTTGGGACGCTGTTACAGTTACGATCTCGAGATTGTGGGGGTGCCTGGCAGAACGACGCGGTGTAGCCGGATTAAACTGGGTTCACAAACGGTTGAGTGTTATGCTTGGTTGTAGCTGATTAGAAGGGGGTATCAGGCCATGTCCGTCTGGAAGGCAGCCTCACCCTGTACAGTACAGAACACGTCTGGCAGAACTCGCGATGCATGGCGAGGGGGCACTTCTGCGAGTGGTTGTTACAGAAGTGCCCGCTAAGGTTGCCTTCTGTGTGGCCTGGCTTCACCAAGTGTACGAGCCAGGTCATCCGAACCGAGCGAAAGGAGGCTTGGATGATTGTGACCATGAAATCGTATTGAAAGGCATTGGTGTCATGGCATTGGTCACTTCCACTACAACACACAACTGCTACATGCGCGAGGCACAGTACACACGATGTTCAAGGGGTTTTTAGTTGAGCCCGCATTGTTACTGAAAATAAACCCCAAAAGTATGGTATTGTCGCTTCTGGCGCACTGTTGCTGCCCATTTTTCGTTTACAGCGTAGAGTTAATGAGATTTCTACGCAGTAAGGTTTTCATTGATCAAAAAGTCGACGGACCGATAACTCCGCTTGGATTGACGGCCATCGAACCGTTTGCACCTGAATTTTGGGCAGACAAATTATATTACCCTCTCAGATGGCATGCTGTTTTGGGAGCATCAACCCTAAACACCGGACGGAAGTGTTTAAGGAGCATCAACCCTAAACACTGGCGGAGGTGTTTGCGACGGGTTTTATATGTTTTTTTATTTCTGCCATCGAGGGAGAATCAACCCTAAACACTATGCAAATGGATGTTTAGGATTGATGCTCTCTCTATATAGGCTTGAAAAATGCTTTACACCTGACTGGGCTCAACTGTTTTCTCTTACACATTAGGCTTGTCGTTTTCAGAGATTTAGACAAATGAGCGTCGAACTGCGTAAAAATCGCACTAACTCTGCGCTGTAAACGAAAAACGGGCAGTAACCCTGCCCCAGAAGCGACGATACTGCGCTTTTGAGGTTTAGTTTCGAAAACCGTGCGTTGTCAACTGAAAACCCATGTTCACGTGTAGTGACGGTTAACTGAGTAACATGGGCGATGGTTTTCAGTCCCTTCATGCCCGTTTTAATCTCCTTTTGTGGAAAATAATGGCATGAGTGAACCTGGAATCATGTGTACTCTAGAAGCGGCGTGGCACCTTTGTAAATCTCGACTATTCGAGTTACAACAACTACTAGCCCAACAACAATTGGATTGGTCGTTACTCAAAACTCAGCCCCAACCCAACTGTCAAATCCCGCCCATCGAAAATATATACATCTCGTTTCAAACCTGACCATAACATCGCATTCACCTTTCTACCTCCTAGGATTTCCCTCGTCACTTCCTACTTCCTCACCGCGCCATCTAGGGGTCTGGGGCTCGTTGAGGTGTCATACATTCTAGAGCGGCCAGATTGAGTCATAGATTGTGGACGGCCCCTCATCTCTCTTTGAGGCAAGTCAAACGACTTGACAAGAGATTTGCTGACCTCGGCGGCCAGTCTCACGAGATCCGTGTGCACTCGTCTACGACGTCGCCTGTCGTCGCCTGTCATCGCACACCGACGACAATGTCGCCTGATCTCAATCGACGCGGCGTCGGCCGCTCGTCGGAGCCTCGTCGCGGCGCCATGAGGAAGCTTCCTCCGTTCCTCCTGCCGCTTCTTCTCTGCCTCATTCTCTCATCGTCGCATCTCGCTCGCCTAGTCGTCGCACAGCAGTGCTCTGCGACCGTTCGCTGCGCCAACAATCTCTGCTGCAGGTGCGTTCCTACTAATGCGGCCCATGTTCGTGAGTCGTGACCTTGCGTCGTCCGACTCCGAGCCTCCTATTCCGAGTCTTCAAATCCGCGCCTCCGAACCTCTGATACCGAGCTTTGTCGGATTCCGAACCTCCGATTTCGAGCCTCTTCTGATTCCGAGCCTTCGATTCTAACCTTTCCCCCTCCCCCCTGCGCGCCTCTCCCCTCTTGCATCTCAACCGTCCGTTTCTCGCAGCAAGTGGGGCTGGTGCGGCTCCACCGTCGATTACTGCGGCTCTGGCTGCCTATCCGGCCCGTGCAGTGGAACCCCCTCCGCCTCCCCCCCTCCGCCTACCAGCTCCCCCCCTCCGCCCACGAGCTCTCCGCCTCCGCCAGCAACTACCGGTTCCCCTCCTGTGTCCACCAATGGCCGTGAGCGCTCCATTGCCTCTCATAGTGATGCAAATTTTGATGATTTCAGAGTGTACTGTGTAACTGTAACATCATTTTCAAGTTGTCTCACAAAGGATTGGCGCAGAGTTGTTTTTGAGTGTCTATCTACGAGTGTGCCGCTACACTGGGCTCTAGTTGCTGCAGCTAGTTCATTCCCCACTTCAACTCTTTCCCCAGTCTCCCCACCCACCCCTCCCCACCCCTCCCCACCCATCCCAACCCAACTTTCCCACCCCTTCCCATCACTCTCCACCCCTCTCCTCTCCCTGAATGTCTTCCACTCCAGAGTGCGGCGCTCAAAACGGCAATAGCATCTGCCCTAACGGTCTCTGCTGCAGCATCCACGGCTGGTGTGGCTCCACCCTCGACTACTGCGGCCCTGGCTGCCAGTCCCAGTGCTCGCTTTCCTCCTCCTCCCCCTCCCCTCCTCCCCCTTCTCCCTCAACGTCCCCCTCCCCGCCTCCCCCGTCCACGTCTCCCTCCCCACCTCCTCCTTCCACGTCCTCTCCCCCGCCCTCCTCGTCTGGGCTGAAGCGGATGGCGTATTTTGTCAACTGGGCGGGCATGGACCCATCCGTCATTCCCGCTGCCAGCCTCACGCATGTCTTCTACGCCTTTGCGCTCATCGATTCCTCTACTTATCAGGTACAGTATCACCAAAATATTATCCATTTTCTCATGTTTTTTTTTATATATATATATATATATATAACTGTGCTCTCGTTTTCCCCCTTTTTATTTCTTTGGATTTTTATTTCTTTCTTTCTTTTCTTTTTTCTTTTGACCGACGTCAAGGCTGACCATACCCTATGCATCCTCGATCCAATTACCTTTCTCCCTCCCATGCCTGGTCATCCCATCCAACCCCGCAATGGACGTCACTCAGGGCCCTGCGCTTCAACTCCGCTCTTAAGGTAGCCAAGCCAACCCTAATCACCCCTATTCCTTCACCTTCTCTCTCCCCCCTCACAGATCATCCCATCCAATCCTGCAGTGGACGTCACTCAGGGCCTCTATCTGCGCTTCAACTCCGCCCTTAAGTCCGCCAACCCTGCCATCAAGACGCTGCTCTCCATCGGGGGCTATTCCGCCGGCACCACCGTTTTCGTCAACGCCGCCTCCTCCGCCTCCTCGCGTTCCGCCTTCATCCAGTCTGCGATTCGTTTCGCCCGGTCGTACAATTTCGACGGTCTGGATATCGACTGGGAGTACCCGACCGGGCAGATCGCGCTTTTCTCTGCCCTGCTCACGGATTTCCGGGCGGCGATCGAGTCCGAAGCGGCAAGTTCGGGGAAGCCGAAGTTGCTTCTGACCGCAGCGGTTTCTGCCTACGAGCCGACTGTTACGCAGGCATACGACGTTCCGACGCTTAACAAAGCACTGGACTTTGTAAATATAATGACTTACGATCTACATGGGTCGTGGGAGGCAAAGACAGGCATGCACACTGCTCTGGAGGATTTGAGCAACCCGCAGCTGAGCCTCAAGGGTGCCATGGCTGCCTGGGTGTCCCGAGGCTTGGCCCGAAGCAAGGCCATGCTAGGCTTGGCGATGTACGGCCGAACCTGGACCCTAGCCTCTACAAGCAGCACTGGGGTCGGAGCTGCGGCCACCGGGCCTGGCCTGGCTGGGTCTGTGAGTCAGGAGGCTGGTGTCCTTTTCTACAGGGAGATTTCCCAGATGGTAGCCACTGGTGGTTACAAAGCTACACTTCATACTCCATCGTCGTCCATGTACGCGGTGAAGGGTAACCAGTGGGTTGGTTACGACAACCCATTTACCATCACCACCAAGGTTAATTATGCCAAGGCACAAAGCTTTGGGGGGTGGTTCTTTTGGGCCCTGAACCAGGATGCCAACAATGCTTTGCTCAATGCTGCGTTGGCCGTGTGAGATGCAGGTCTAGGCCTATAATAATGTTAAGGATACATGAAGGTAGAGTTTGCCAGACTTTTTTGGATGGTTTGCAGCCCTGTGAAAGTCTGTATTATATTTCGTATTTGCGGTAAGGATGAGTTAGTATCAATTATACTCAGATTTGATAGCAGTGCATACATAACAATAAGATACAGCCGGTTTCATACGTAGATAATGCTTCATGACTGAATTTCTTTTGAAACGAAACCCTTTTGACGAATTTCTTCACCCAAGTGGACTTTTCCATGCTGGCATTCTCTCCACCTGGTAATCGCTTGAGGCACGTCAGCCTGGGCCTTTTCAGATTGATCTGAGACATTTCCTTTCACGCTTGGGATTATCGAGCCTCTCATGAAAGCAGACAAGCAAGGCTCGGTGACACAACGACGGCACCGATTGCTCCGAAAACTTACCAAGCCAGCATATCGTCCAGTCACACAAGCGTAGCTTGAGCTGGCCAATGACCATTCCTCATAAAGCGCATCTGGAAATACTCGTTGACGCAATCCACGTGATTGATGACAGCATGCCAACAAACGCCCAGCAACCTCAACCGACTTTGTGTGAAGGCCCTGCTTCGCCTATCCCCGTTGGCGTAGCTGCGTGCTGGCGAAATGCTGGCTCTGTCGCCACCAGATCATCCGACAATGCCGCCATTCAAAACCCCATTCATTTCTCACAGTGCAAGAGGCAGATTTGTCGACATCATTTCGTCGCCGTCGCATTCACCCTCTCTTCTCCTACGCTGGTTGAGGTCATCGTCGCATATGAGTGCTTCGAGAATCGCACGCGAATACTTCGAGGTCGCACACACATCACACTCAGTTTCTAAAGCCGCTGCCGCCAAAACAGGTTGCACACGCGCCACCACACCCCACCGCTGTACAGTAACGCCTCCAAACCAATCCAGCAGCAGAGACAAGAACCGTCTGCTTCCATGTTCCCTCTGCCCCCACATGGCCTTGTTTCGCACTATCCGATTCAGAACTTTGTTCCGGGTACACTACACCAATTAGATTTCCACTTCGGTTGATACCTGCTCCTGATTGATAATAATTTCCGCCCTCTAATCATGTTATCTGCACCAAACAAGCATTTCCATACGATTTTCTTTCTGCCCGAATGTGCTTTCTGCACTGCCGTCCAGGTTCTTCCACCATTCCTTGCATTTGCCCCCCTTCATCTCCTTCGTCCCTTTCATCCTGATTTCTCCCACCACTGCGGCCGCCGCTGAGTCCTGACTGCTGCTGCTCTGCATATATTCACCTCACGTTTTCATGCAGAGGGGTGGAATCTGTGTGATTGAGCTCCGCAGAAAGCCCAACCCCGTTCTTGTAAAGAGCAGCCATTTCTTGGCTTTCCTGTTTTCTCCAGTGCGTTCCATTCCTACTAGTAACGATCCTTTTGCGATCAGAACCGTCGATTTCGTCCCCTTTACACGTGATTTCGTCCCACCGGTTTGCTGTATCCTTAGTCGTCGGATGTTTTTTCGGCCGAAATTCATGCATCCATGTCACTTCGACGTGCGTGTGTGTATTGAATCCTTGCTTGACACTACTGCTTACTGCTCCCTCGTGACACCCGCTACGGAAGCGTTAGAGATTGAAGTACCTGGATAACAAGCCAGTTATCCACGCGAGTATTCGCAAGAAGTGCTACTTTTTTTTCGTCGCCGTATCACTAGTTACGACGGGTAAATTCCCCATATAGCAACCAATCAAGTGTTCCCTACTGCGGTTTCCGGAAGCCCGCTACAATAAACTTTTGTAACGGCGGACGTCAAAACGAGCTAAGCTTCTCGGAAATCCATCGCTCAAGAGTTTGAAGGCCTTTGCGCTGACATCGAGTCATGGCGTTCGGTGATGTGATCGGTGACCGCATGATGCGACGGCTCACGGCAGCGGGTCGCAGGGCAATGCGACGGAACGCGAGCGACAGTTGCTTCCTTCGCGACAGTCGCCAGCAGCAGCAAAGCGTGGAGAACGCGACATCAGCGACCAAGGTAACCTCGACTGCACGAGTCATGACGCATGGATGAATCTGAGGAGATTGGCTTTGCAAGTTATGTTTTGTCGCCGAATGTTGATTGTGGCTGCACGTCACGTTTGAACAGGACTTTCCTGGGATGTTTAGGATGTGCATGAATAACCGTAGTTGCTGCTCCTTCGTTTGCGCTTGCGGTGTCGCTCCCCCACATTCAGGCATTCTGCTCTCGCCTGATGTGTCGCTGCAGCAGCAACAACTTTCGGAGGCGCCTCAAAAGTTTTCTCGTTTCGTTTTTTGCGATGTCGCTCCCCACGTTCAGGGTTCGTGCTCTCGCCTGATGGGTCGCTGCAGCAGCAACAGCTGCATTCACGCTATGAAGAAAAACGGCTCCAATTCGTTACTCTCCGATGCCGCTTCTACTCCTCAACGGACCCCGTTATCATCACTCACCATGTTCCTGAAACGAAAGAGCGCCGCACGCTCTGCTACAGCTGCCGAGCCTGTCTCCGAGCCTACCACCGAGCCTGTCTCATCCGCGTCCAATCAGGAGAAAGCGAAGACCGGAGCTTCTGATAAAGACAGGGCGAAAGGGTTTCGCGCCGCTGTATTCCCCGTCGCTGTAATCGAAACCGACGAGGAGGAAAACGAACCTTCCGACGACGGGACAGCACTACGGAATGTGACTAAATTGGAAAGCGTGTTCGCGAAGCAACCGTCGACCGCACCAGTCGCAACACCAGTCGCAGCACCGTTCGCAGCACCAGTCGCAGCACCGTTCGCAGCACCAGTCGCAGCACCAGTCGCAGCAGAAGCACAGCCGACGAAATTGACCCCAGCAGCATGTGCGAAGCTTCCACCACCCGCTCCTTCTCCCGGCAAGCAACCCGTCAGCCAGCCGGTCGACATCAAGCAGCGGCCGACGGCCGTCCGTAACCGTAACACGGGGCTACAGCAGAACCGTCCGATCTTCCAGCGACCCGTTCTGGACACAATCCCGTCCGCACAGGAGCTGGAAAGCGGCGAGCTACCGTTCTCGCTCTCTCTCACCAACAACCCAGGAGCAGGAGTAACCTCCCCTCCTACTGTTACCACTCCAGGCGGGTCGTCCTTCTCCTCGTTCATCCTCTCCCTCGTCACGCCACGTGGCAGCCAGAGACCCGCGTCGTCTGCTACCGCTTCGTCCCAATCCGCCGCATCTTCCGTGTACTCGCTTTCTGATTCCGATGTGGATTCGGATTCTGACGAGGAGAGCGAGGAAGAGGAGACGGTGGAAGGTGCAGGGGGAGACGAGGACGGGGGCTGGAGCAAGCTGGCGTCTGTTGGCAAGTCCGTGAGTTTTGAAGGGAGGAAGACGGCGGTTCAGAGCGGTGGAGCTGGGTTCTGGAACCGGAAGAGGTGGCTGTCGTTCTCCCCTCGCTCCGCGTCCGCTGCTCGGGCGTGTGCGCGGGCTGTTGCTGCTGTGGACGGTGGTAATGGCGATGGTGATGGTTGTGATGGTCGTGGCGCCAAGTGTGTCAAGTCCACGCCGTCCTCTTCTTACACGTCACCTTCGAAGCGTCTCGTGACGAGCCCTGACGCAGCCTCGGAGTCCGGTTCGGTGAACTCTGCTCCGGCTGGAGGCTCGGGTGGATGTTCGGATGCAGGTCTGGGAGGGACATTCGGTGGTGGTTTGAGAGCGGGCGGCAGGATCAAATCTGGAGCGAGGATGGGGATGCTATCCAGAAGCATGTCGGAACGACTGCCGCCACTCACTCCGCTGGCGACTGTGCTGGACTGCGACATGCCGCTGACGTGGACTGCCAGCCTGGACCCGGATTTATGGGCGGTTCCGGAGCACGGGCCCCATGGGGGTGGCGGAACGGCAGGCGAGTGTAGCAGCTGTGATCGCTGGCGAGGCGAGAAGACATGGCCTCAGGAAAAGGACAAAGACGACAAGTTGGCGGCGCGCCGGCCACGGCGCATTGAGTTGCCGGCCAGGAATGCGACAGGTCCTGCTTCTGCCCCCGTGGCAGGGGATCCTGCGGTGGCGTCGCCGCCAGCTGTCACGCCGCCAGCTGTCACGCCGCGATTGCCCGAGCTGACGGAGGAGTCGTTTCTGCTGTCGGAGGCGACGCGTGCGGCGGTGTTCAAGCACCTGCCTGCCACTGTCAGCAGCCGCAAATGGGTGCTGCTCTACAGGTAACGGCAGAATTTACGCTGAGTTGGGTGCTACACGCTGAGTAACGGTTTTTCCATTCCTCTCCGTCACCATTCATGTCTTTCGTTCATCTCCCATCTCCTCTGTCCTTCCAACATTTACTCCCGTCACAGCACGGTGAAGCACGGGATATCGCTCCTCACGCTCTACCGCAGGGCCTCCATGCTCCCCGGCCCCTGCCTCCTTGTGCGTACCCTTCATTTCCCACTGCTTTCAACCTTGCTGCTGTTCCCAAGTCCTCTTGAAAGCGTTGTTCGGTTGAAAGGTCGCTTCAAGACTTTCCTGCTGCGTCGCGCATTTCGACTTGTTCGACTCTTGTTTGTGCTCTTGTTTTTTTTTCTCGCTCTCGCGCCGCCGCCTGTCGTTTCTTTCACACTGGACGTCCTGTTTGTTTCTCTTTCTTGCTTCTCCCTCAATTCCCGTTGCCTCCCTCATCCCTCCACTCTTCCAGGTGGTATCAGACAGCGCAGGAACAATCTTCGGCGCCTTCTCCTCCCCCTCCGCGCTCACCCCGTCCGACCGGCGCAAGTACCAGGGCAGCAACCACTGCTTTGTCTTCTCGGACATCTCAGGCTCCCCCACGGTGCATGCAGCCACGGGGCGCAACCACTACTACGTGCTGCCCACGCACGACTGCCTTGCCTTCGGTGGTGGCGGGAGATTCGCCCTGCGTCTTGAGGAAGACCTGTAAGTCCGGGAGGCTGGGACTATGCGGGGGGTGAAGGGGGTTGTGTAGGTAGCGGCTAGCAGTCTCGAGGGGCTCCCCCACGGTGCATGCAGCCACGGGGCGCAACCACTTCTACGTGCTGCCCACGCACGACTGCCTCGCCTTCGGTGGCGGAGGGAGATTCGCCCTTCGCCTGGAAGAAGACTTGTGAGTCCGTGTTCCAACCGTGCATGATGCAACGATAGGTGGCATTTCTCTGTCACTGTCTGCCTCTCTGAGAGATAGCTCTTCCACGAGAGTCTGCTTAATCTTGTCACTCAATCTTGTGTGTTCATCTTGCCCCTTTCTCCCGTCTCCGCGTCTCTCCTCCTGTCTTGCCTCGGTCTCCAGGCTGTCGGGCTCCAGTGGCGAGTGTGACACCTTCGCCAGCCCATGCCTGGCGGGGAAGGAGGACTTCTGCGTCAAACACGTTGAGGTACTCCACTGCATTCCTCTCTCCTGCACGAACACTCATGTCCCCTGCACGCACACTCATCTGCCTTGAGGTTATTTTTTAGACGCCTTAAAACTCACCTTCGCGAGCCCATGCCTGGCGGGGAAGGAGGACTTCTGCGTCAAACACGTTGAGGTACTGCACTGCATTCCTCTCTTTTGCATGCACACCCATCTGCCTCATTTCTCTTGTCTCCCTCACCCCTTCCTCCCTTCCGGCCCTCCCAACACCTAGTAATAGTTTGCCCCTTGGCACGTTCATCGTAGCAATAGTTTTGTTCCTCACTGTCTCTACTTTTATTACCCAGGTAGCTGCTCTCTCTCCTAACCTTCCCTCCCCCCCTGCTTCCCTTTCCCGCCCACCCTGGTCCACTCGCCTCATTTCACAACCACCGCCGCTGCCACGGTTACTTCGTGTGTTGCAGCTGTGGGGGTTCGCCCATTTGTCGCGCTACACGCCCGCCAGAGCAGCATGGAAGGAGCCTGAAATGCGCCACAGCTTCCACGCTTAGCCGCTCCCTTTCTTGGCGCACTTTCTCGGCACAGCGGCTTCCATGTTTGGCCCAACTTTTTTTTTTATGCTCCTCAAGAATACACGCCCGCGAGAGCAGCATGGAAGGAGCCCGAGATGTGCCACAGCTTCCATTCTTAGCTGCGCTTTCACGAGAAGACAGCAGCTTCCATTTATCGGGGGGCACCTGCATTTGGCTACAGCTCCTGCTGCAACCTTCAGCTCCAGCGTCCTCTGCTATTCTCACCTGCGTTTTGAGAATTCCCAAGAGTGACTCAAATACTTCCACTCATAACGGCACCTGCATTGTGCGGCAGCTTCTGCTGCTATCTGCAGCTCCAGCCTCCTCTCCTAATCTCCCCTGCAGCATCGTCTCCTGTTCGCACCTGCAGCGTCGACGGTTATCACGCCTGCAGCTATATTGTATTTACAAGGGCTGTGCAGGCACACAGCCCTCAGGCCCCGTCTTTATCTCACCTGGCAGAAGCTCCGTGCAACGGCACAACAGCAAGACTGCCAGGATACTCCCATTCTCACTTGCTTGGTTCGACTCAAAGCTCATTTCTCCATGTGGCTACATGGATGATGGATACAATCATGCAAGGGTACACCGGGCAACAGCAACCCTGGTTTCGGTCGAGACTCGTTCGAAGCGCCTCAGACACAGCAATCCTGGTTCGAGTCAGGGATTCATAAGGCATCTCGTGCGGCTGGACTCTTCGCCAAGGGTGCCAAGGGCGCAAGGCTACAGCGACCCTGTGTAACATTTTGTAACATTCTGCAACCCTTTTGCAATCTGCAGCATCTGAAGTGAGTCGGGTGGTAACCAGCGTCTGTGCGCAGCTCTTTTTTTTTTTCTGCTCTGCAAGGTTGGTCTTTTCTTGTACGGTAATCTGGCCTTTTCTGGTTCTTGCGTGACATGGTGTTGTGGCGTGTCTATTTTGCGCTACTGGCAACTTTTTGTGGTGGAGAGTAGGGGGTGGATGGTACGTGAGTGTGTGGCAGGTTGGCAAATGAAAGGCGGCGAGGAGGAGGGAGGAGTTAGGGGGAAGCAGAGGAGGGGAGTGAGGAAGAGGTGAGTAGCGTAGGTGAAATGAGCAGTTGTTGATGAGAAGTCAAATAAGCAGCGGAGATGTTGCTGCAAGGTGTTGTGTACTGGCCAACCCACCCCACCCAATACCCACATCCCATTTCCTAAGCGTCGTGCGCATGTATAGGTCAGTGGGAGTAACTGTACAGATTTACGTTTTGCTTGTCAGTGCTTGCATCTGCCACCCGACCAAGGGCTTGGTGTGTGCTTGTTTGTAAATGCATTATAAATACCATACAGTTTCTATTTTTCCAGCTTGTAACAGCAGACTTCATTTGATATATATATGAAGCAAGTGACACTAGAAGTGATGACACGCTTGTATCGTATTTGCGAATGTGCGTACGAATGCGTCCTCAAACACTAGCACCAGAGACCCAGCAGAGACAGCAAATCCAATTTCCTGCGCCAACCCAATCAGGAGCAGCTGGTTCGCTCCCTTCACTCATTCTGCACACCCCGCAGATCGGCCCAGATCGCCGCATTTCTCGCCGCACTCCTCGCCGCATTCCTCGCTGCAGTCCTCGCCTTTCGTCGTTCCGCACTCGTCGCCGACCCTGTTGTCTCTTAGCCCAGTATTCAACGACAATTCATTTCTTATCGGAGCAGTTGCGACAATGACGCAGGCGTTCCTTTCGTCACGTGCATTTGGTTACCACACACGAATTCGCCACGCGAATGGGTCGCAGCCGTCGAAGTCAAGTCAGTGCCCACTCGGCACGTGGCAAGTGCACGCCGGACCCGGTCATCCGCTCAGCCGAAAGTTGACGAGGCTAGACGACAGGCTCGGTTCCAGCCTCGGCAGCGGCGGCATTTCTAGGCTCGGGACGCAGCAGCAAGGTTGGAGAAGGGGCTTCGGAGGAGAAGGCATGGGAGGGGAGGGTGGAGCGGTTCGGGGGAGGCGGCGAACAATCACAGCCATTGGATTCACTGCAGATCCACGGCCCAGGTAGCACGATCTCAAGCATGAAATTTCTGCAACGTTCTTCATAGCACCCTTGCTAAGACCCGCTCAGCACCTCCCAACCTACCCTCCCTAATGCCCTACCCTCCACTCCCTCCCTCCATTCCACCCCCCTCCACCCCCCTCCACCCCCTTCCACCCCCTTCAGTGTTGAGAAAGCAGCAGTGCGTCTGCTACAAGACGCGGCAGCGCTGCTGGTGTACCAGGAGGTCTTTAAAGGCGCTGCTGCCCTTTCTCTCTTTCTACACTTATCCTCTCCACCCCCCTCCACCCCTCTCCACCCCCCTCAGCGTGGAGAAAGCAGCAGCGCGGCTACTGAGAGACGCAGCCGCACTGCTGGTGTACCAGGAGGTCTTCAAAGGCGCGGCTCCTCCCCCACTTCGCTTCTCCTCCCCCCCACCCTTTCCCGTCCACCCAGTGTCGAGAAAGCAGCAGCGCGGCTACTGAGGGACGCAGCCGCACTGCTGGTGTACCAGGAGGCCTTTAAAGGCGCGGCTCCTCAGGCGTTCCTGAGGCTGCTGCTGCAGCTGCGCCGTGGTGGGGGTGGTGGGCTGCTGCTGCAGCAATGTGATGTCTGATGGGGTTCATCCTCGTTGGGAATTGGGGGTGGAATGGAACCATGTGCATTACTTCATGTGCCGTCATTACCCAAACCCCCAAACCCAGAATCACCCAAATCCCCAAGCTCCCCTTTCCCCTGCAACCTCGCTCCCCTCTCCCTTTCCATCCCCCCACTTCTCCACTTCCCCCCCTCCCAAGCAGACCCTTTGCAAGTGCTGGAGAGCAATGGCCAGTTTTATCGTCTCATGCCTTGGGGAGAGCATTTTGAGGCGCCTCAAATGCAGTTTTATCGGCTCATGGCCTTGGGGAGAGCTGTGCCTTGGGGAGAGCTGTGCCTTGGGGAGAAGCTGTGCCTTGGGGAGAGCTGTGCCTTGGGGAGAGCTGTGCCTTGGGGAGAGCTGTGCCTTGGGGAGAGCTGTGCGTGGAGGAGAAGCGTGTCCTTGGGGAGAGCTGTGGCCTTGGGGAGAGCTGTGCCTTGGGGAGAGCTGTGCCTTGGGGAGAGCTGTGCCTTGGGGAGAGCTGTGCCTTGGGGAGAGCTGTGCCTTGGGGAGAGCTGTGCCTTGGGGAGAGCTGTGCCTGTGCTTGGGAGAGCTGTGCCTTGGGGAGAGCTGTGCCTTGGGGAGAGCTGTGCCTTGGGGAGAGCTGTGCCTTGGGGAGAGCTGTGCCTTGGGGAGAGCTGTGCCTTGGGGAGAGCTGTGCCTTGGGGAGAGCTGTGCCTTGGGGAGAGCTGTGCCTTGGGGAGAGCTGTGCCTTGGGGAGAGCTGTGCCTTGGGGAGAGCTGTGCCTTGGGGAGAGCTGTGCCTTGGGGAGAGCTGTGCCTTGGGGAGAGCTGTGCCTTGGGGAGAGCTGTGCCTTGGGGAGAGCTGTGCCTTGGGGAGAGCTGTGCCTTGGGGAGAGCTGTGCCTTGGGGAGAGCTGTGCCTTGGGGAGAGCTGTGCCTTGGGGAGAGCTGTGCCTTGGGGAGAGCTGTGCCTTGGGGAGAGCTGTGCCTTGGGAGAGCTGTGCCTTGGGGAGAGCTGTGCCTTGGGGAGAGCTGTGCTTGGGGAGAGCTGTGCCTTGGGGAGAGCTGTGCCTTGGGGAGAGAGCTGTGCCTTGGGGAGAGCTGTGCCTTGGGGAGAGCTGTGCCTTGGGGAGAGCTGTGCCTTGGGGAGAGCTGTGCCTTGGGGAGAGCTGTGGCCTTGGGGAGAGCTGTGCCTTGGGGAGAGCTGTGCCTTGGGGAGAGCTGTGCCTTGGGGAGAGCTGTGCCTTGGGGAGAGCTGTGGCCTTGGGGAGAGCTGTGCCTTGGGGAGAGCTGTGCCTTGGGGAGAGCTGTGGCCTTGGGGAGAGCTGTGCCTTGGGGAGAGCTGTGCCTTGGGGAGAGCTGTGCCTTGGGGAGAGCTGTGCCTTGGGGAGAGCTGTGCCTTGGGGAGAGCTGTGCCTTGGGGAGAGCTGTGCCTTGGGGAGAGCTGTGCCTTGGGGAGAGCTGTGCCTTGGGGGAAGAGCTGTGCCTTGGGGAGAGCTGTGCCTTGGGGAGAGCTGTGCCTTGGGGAGAGCTGTGCCTTGGGGAGAGCTGTGCCTTGGGGAGAGCTGTGCCTTCCCTTTTTCCTCCGCGTCCCTTTCCGCTCCCCCATGTCTCCCTTCCCCCCCTTCCCCCCCCTTCCCCCCCCTTCCCCCCCCTTCCCCCCCCTTCCCCCCCCTTCCCCCCCCTTCCCCCCCTTCCCCCCCTTCCCCCCCCTTCCCCCCCTTCCCCCCCCTTCCCCCCCCTTTCCCCCCCTTCCCCCCCCTTCCCCCCCCTTCCCCCCCCTTCCCCCCCCTTCCCCCCCCTTCCCCCCCCTTCCCCCCCCTTCCCCCCCCTTCCCCCCCTTTCCCCCCCTTCCCCCCCCTTCCCCCCCCTTCCCCCCCCTTCCCCCCCCTTCCCCCCCCTTTCCCCCCCTTCCCCCCCCTTCCCCCCCTTCCCCCCCCTTTCCCCCCCTTCCCCCCCTTCCCCCCCCTTCCCCCCCCTTTCCCCCCCCTTCCCCCCCTTTCCCCCCCTTCCCCCCCCTTTCCCCCCCTTCCCCCCCCTTCCCCCCCCTTCCCCCCCCTTTCCCCCCCCTTCCCCCCCCTTTCCCCCCCTTCCCCCCCTTTCCCCCCCTTCCCCCCCTTCCCCCCCTTCCCCCCCCTTCCCCCCTTCTCCCCCCCATCCCCCTCTTCCCCCCTTTTCCCCCCCTCACAAGCAGACCCTCTGCGAGTGCTGGAGAGCTATGGGGAGTTTTATCGCCTCATGGCCTTTGAGGAACATTCCAGGTAGCTTCTCCCTGATGTTCTCTCCTTCCTCTGCTTGCTTACCCCTTCCCTGAAATCTTCCCATTACCACCACACTTGGTCAAAATGCTCAGAAGCAGGTGTGGTTTCTTGAGAATTCTCAAGACTTGAATGAGGGGGAGAATGTCGACTACTATGTGCGTGCAAGGCGTTTGTAGTGGACATTCTCCCCCCCTCATTCAGCAAGTCTTGACACGTCTCAGGTGAAAGAAGAGTGTTTTTGAGACGTCTCAATAACACTATGTGCGTGCAAGGCGTTTGTGGTCGACATCCTCCCCCCCTCATTCAAGCCTTGAGACGCCTCAGTTCTCGCCATCATCAAGAGGTGCCTTTTGAGTCGACTCAGAAGTCACCTCGAGAATTCTCAAAAAACCATCAGCACTATGTGCGTGCAAGGCGTTTGTAGTGGACATTCTTCCCCCCTCATTCAAGTCTTGAGACGTCTCATCTCAGGTGAAAGAAGAGTGTTTTTGAGTCGTCTCATCTCTGGTGAAAGAAGAGTGTTTTTGAGACGTCTCAAAACCACTATGTGCGTGCATGGCGTTTGTAGCGGACATTCTCCCCCCCTCATTCAACAAGTCTTGACACGTCTCGGTTCAGTTCTCCCCATCATACCCCCTTTCATGCAGCATACCCCATCCCATTCCCTCCTCAACCTCCCCAAATCCATCCCAAGCAACAAAATCCCACTCCACCCCACCGCACCGCACCCCACCCCATCCCACCACATGTCATGCCGTCTCATGCCATGATCCCACCAGCTGAAATGATCTGCTACTCTATCTCATCCTCACTCTCCCCAACTCCATCCTATCCCTCTCCACCGCGCCCCACCCCACCCCACCCATACCATCGCACCAGCTGGGAAGATCTGCTACTGTATCGCATCCTGACTGTCGAAAACAACCCCTTCGCCGAGGCAGCAGCAGCAGCAACCGCAACCACAGCAACAACAGCAGCCGCAGCAGCCGCAGCAGCAGCAGTCTCTGCCGGTGATCCGACTATTCTGGGCGGCAAACAGGGCAAGTTGCGGGCGGCAGCAGCTGTGGACCTGAGCTCGCTGCAGCGGCTGTGCGTCAACGAAACAACCCTTGCTTCCTGGGTACGTGGGGTGGGTTGTATGGGCACGTGCGTTTTTTATTTATCAAACAAGTGTGGTGTAGAAGCTGCTCAGTCTGGGCGGCAAACAGAGCAAGCTGAGAGTGTAGTTTTGAGTCGACTCAAAACTAACCCCCCTTGGTTCCTGGGTGAGTGGGGTGGGTTGTATGAGCACGTGCTCTTTTGATCAAACAAGTGTGGTGTAGAAGCTGCTCAGTCTGGGCGGCAAACAGAGCAAGCTGAGGGCGGCGGCAGCTGTGGACTTGAGCTCCTTGCAGCAGCTGTGCGTCAACGGAACCACCCTTGCTTCCTGGGTACGTGGGATGGGTGGGTGGAAACGGGTGCGTTGTTGTAGTGCTTCTTTCCCAATCCGTTTCAGAGTATTTTTGAGAATTCTAAAAAATTCTCAAAAATTCTCAAAAATTCTCAAAAATACTCTGCAACATCGTGGGTGGAAACGGGTGCGTTGTTGTAGTGCTTCTTTCCCAATCCGTTTGCTAGCCAAGAGGCAAGGGCGGCAAGTCGATAGATGAAAAGAGTAATCTGTAGTGACTGCACTCACACTCACATTCACACTCACATTCACACTCACATTCACACTCACATTCACGCTCACATTCACACTCACATTCACCCGCACATTCACACTCACATTCACACTCACATTCACACTCACATTCACCCTCACATTCACACTCACATTCACACTCACATTCACACTCACATTCACACTCACATTCACCCTCACATTCACACTCACAATCACACTCACATTCACACTCACATTCACCCAGCAGAGGACCTGAGCTCTTGAATGTCAGAGAAACAACAACGGTCGTACGTCAACTGAAACCCTCTATCGCCTCAAATGCCAATTCTGCCCCCATGATCTTGAATTCAATGCTCTGCTCTCCACAGGTGGCGGACATTGTACCAGACATGCCGCCCGAGTGGCGTGAGGTGGGGGTGGCGTGAGGCTTTCAAGTCAAATCACAACGCGCTTTCACATCTAAAGTCTGTTTTTGAGGCGCCTCAAAATTCAACTCAATGTCTATTCCGCCCCCTTGGATGCCTGCCTCACTGGATGCCTGCCTCACTGGATGCCTGCCTCACTGGATGCCTGCCTCACTGGATGCCTGCCTCACTGGATGCCTGCCTCACTGGATGCCTGCCTCACTGGATGTCTTTCTTTACGCATTGCACGTTGTACCAGGTGGCGCACATTGTTCCGGACGGACATGCCGGCCGAGTGGCGTGAGGCTGCTTTTTTTAGGCGCCTTAAAAGCACGTCCAGGTGGCGGACATTGTACTGGCCATGCCGGCCGAGTGGAGTGAGGCTGCCACGGGCGCTACTTTCGAGTCGAATCACAACTCGCTTTCGCATAAAGAATCGATTTTGCCTTCACTGCTTTGCTCTCCATGTGTCCAGGTGGCGGACATTGTACCGGACATGCCGGCCGAGTGGCGTGAGGCTGCTGCCGGCGCTGCGAATGGGGTGGCTAAGGGGAGCCGGGACAGGAACGGAGCTGGCGAGGCCAGGGTGATGGGCTTTGACCTGACTGCAGCAAGCAAGGAGGCATTGACCCCTGCTGCCCCTGCTGCGTCCGCTGCATCCTCCTCTTCCTCCAGTGAAGGTGCACCGCAGGTTAAGGAACAATCTCTAATTCGACGAACAAGCAATCTGGGCCTATTTTGCCTGGCTTTCTAACTAGAACCATGATTGGGCCCATTCCCTTCATCTCATCTCATCAAGGCCTTCCTTGCTTCCATGCTTTCCCTCTGCCTTCCCCTCCCTTCCCCTCCCTTCCCCTCCCTTCCCCTCCCGTCCCCTCCCGTCCATGTGGGCATCAGCCCTGGGCGCATCAGCAGCATGTGGGACTGGGCGGATGCCCTGCCTTTCATCCGCTTTCCCTCCCCCCCATTGCAGACCTCTTACCGCCGCGCATCAGCGGCATGTGGGACTGGGCGGATGCCCTGCCTTTCATCCGCTTTCCCTCCCCCCCATTGCAGACCTCTTACCGCCGCGCATCAGCGGCATGTGGGACTGGGCGGATGCCCTGCCTTTCATCCGCTTTCCCTCCCCCCCATTGCAGACCTCTTACCGCCGCGCATCAGCGGCATGTGGGACTGGGCGGATGCCCTGCCTTTCATCCGCTTTCCCTCCCCCCCATTGCAGACCTCTTACCGCCGCGCATCAGCGGCATGTGGGACTGGGCGGATGCCCTGCCTTTCATCCGCTTTCCCTCCCCCCCATTGCAGACCTCTTACCGCCGCGCATCAGCGGCATGTGGGACTGGGCGGATGCCCTGCCTTTCATCCGCTTTCCCTCCCCCCCATTGCAGACCTCTTACCGCCGCGCATCAGCGGCATGTGGGACTGGGCGGATGCCCTGCCTTTCATCCGCTTTCCCTCCCCCCCATTGCAGACCTCTTACCGCCGCGCATCAGCGGCATGTGGGACTGGGCGGATGCCCTGCCTTTCATCCGCTTTCCCTCCCCCCCATTGCAGACCTCTTACCGCCGCGCATCAGCGGCATGTGGGACTGGGCGGATGCCCTGCCTTTCATCCGCTTTCCCTCCCCCCCATTGCAGACCTCTTACCGCCGCGCATCAGCGGCATGTGGGACTGGGCGGATGCCCTGCCGCTCATCCTCGCCTTCCATGCTGCCAACGGCTATGGGGAGGCAGCGGTCAGTGCAGGTAGCGTGCACTGGCACTGGCAATCCAGTTGCCTCCATGCTTCTCATTCACCTCATGCCCTGCCTCTCATCCTCGCCTTCCATGCTGCCAACGGCTACGGGGAGGCAGCGGTCAGCTCAGGTAGGATCGGTGGGAATTGAATAGCCTCCCTGCCTCTCATTTTCCTCCATGCTTCTCATTCACTTCATGCCCTGCCTCTCATCCTCGCCTTCCATGCTGCCAACGGCTATGGGGAGGCAGCAGTCAGCTCAGGTAGGGTGGGGGCTGTAGAAATCTGATGTGCTCCATGTGTGTCATTCGCCTGCCTTTGTTCTTTTCGCTCTAATTTGAGTTTGAGTTTATTTGTTTGTGACACATTCGTACTCGGTTAGAGTGGAAGGTGGTCAAGTGAAAAAAATCGAGGGTAATTGCAGTAGTGCACCCTTTTTCCCCTTCCGTCTTCTCCTGTTCCCCCTCCCCTCGTTCCTTCAGCAAAAGGAGGTCGACTGAAGTGATTTGAAATACTGGTGTTAGTATAGCCTCTTTCCCCTTACCCTCTTTTCCTGCTTCCCCCTTCCCCAAGTCTCCTGTTTCCCCTTTCCCAGGTTCCCATCAGCAGTGCCAGAGTGCAAGGGAGGTTGCTTCGTGGCAGCAGCACCGGACATTTGAGGCGCCTCAGAAGTGCCATTCCCTGTCCCCTTCCTCCCTTCCCCCTTCGATTTCCCCCCTTCAACTCGCAGTGCTGGAGTGGAAGGGAGGTCGCTTCGTGGCAGCAGCACCGGACATTTGAGGCGCCTCAGAAGTTCCCTCTTCTGTCCCCCTCCCCTTTCCCCTTTCCCTCTTCACTTTCCCCGTCACTTTTCCCCCTTCACTTTCTCCCCTTCAACTCGCAGTGCTGGAGTGGAAGGGAGGTCGCTTCGTGGCAGCAGCACCGGACATTTGAGGCGCCTCAGAAGTGCCATTCCCTGTCCCCTTCCTCCCTTCCCCCTTCGATTTCCCCCCTTCAACTCGCAGTGCTGGAGTGGAAGGGAGGTCGCTTCGTGGCAGCAGCACCGGACATTTGAGGCGCCTCAGAAGTTCCCTCTTCTGTCCCCCTCCCCTTTCCCCTTTCCCTCTTCACTTTCCCCGTCACTTTTCCCCCTTCACTTTCTCCCCTTCAACTCGCAGTGCTGGAGTGGAAGGGAGGTCGCTTCGTGGCAGCAGCACCGGACATTTGAGGCGCCTCAGAAGTGCCATTCCCTGTCCCCTTCCTCCCTTCCCCCTTCGATTTCCCCCCTTCAACTCGCAGTGCTGGAGTGGAAGGGAGGTCGCTTCGTGGCAGCAGCACCGGACATTTGAGGCGCCTCAGAAGTTCCCTCTTCTGTCCCCCTCCCCTTTCCCCTTTCCCTCTTCACTTTCCCCGTCACTTTTCCCCCTTCACTTTCTCCCCTTCAACTCGCAGTGCTGGAGTGGAAGGGAGGTCGCTTCGTGGCAGCAACACCGGACCTAGTCACCCCACCGCCCTCACCTCTCTTCTCTATCTACAACCACCACCGAGAGGCTCTGAGAGGATTGGTGCACACACACGTGGACGGCCGACCCTCCCCCCATGTGCTGCTGGTGCGTCCATCCTTCCCTCCATCCTTCCCTCCCTCCCTCCCTCCCTCCCTCCCTCCCTCCCTCCCTCCCTCCCTCCCTCCCTCCCTCCCTCCCTCCCTCCCTCCCTCCCTCCCTCCCTCCCTCCCTCCCTCCCACCCAAGCCTCTTACCATTCAAGTCATCCCACTGCCGTTGCCACACTTCTCCATCTACAATCCTTCCTCCCCCCCTTCTTTTGAGTCGACTCAAAAGTCAACTCATCCCACCGCCCTCTCCACTTTTCTCCATCTACAAACCTTCCTCCCCCCTTTTTCTTCCCCATCCCTCCCCTCTTCCCATCAACCCATCTCCCGTCCAATCAGCACGGGCCACCTGGCACGGGCAAGTCAACCCTCCTGCGCTCCGTCCTCCTCCCCATGGCCCTCCCCTCCTCCGCCCTCCTCTCCATTCCCTCCTCCGACTCTCCCTTAACGTCCCCTCTCGCGGGCGAGTCAGGGGAAGGCAGCAACAGGGGGAGGCGGGAGCTGAGGGTGGTGCTGCTGCAGAAGGGGGAAGTGAAGGGCATAGCAGGGGTGCTGCAGGCGGCTGCAAAGATGCCCTCCCTGCGTTTCTGCCTCCTGATCGACAACCTGAACTTGCGGGTGAGTACAGTTCTCTTCAGTTCCAATGGAGAGAATGTGGTTGGTTGGAGTGCAGTGAAGGGCATGGCAGGGGTGCTGCAGGCGGGCTGCCAAGATGCCATCTCTGCGCGTCTGCCTTGTCATTGACAACCTCAACCTCCGGGTGAGTACTTCATGTTCATTTCCATTGGGAATAGAGAGTGTGGTGGGGGGGAGTCGCGTGAAGGGCATGGCAGGGGTGCTGCAGGCGGCTGCCAAGATGCCATCTCTGCGCGTCTGCCTTGTCATTGACAACCTCAACCTCCAGGTGGGTACTTCATGTTCAGTTCCATTGGGAATAGAGAGTGTGGTGGGAGGGAGTCGCGTGAAGGGCATGGCAGGGGTGCTGCAGGCGGCTGCCAAGATGCCATCTCTGCGCGTCTGCCTTGTCATTGACAACCTCAACCTCCGGGTGAGTACTTCATGTTCATTTCCATTGGGAATAGAGAGTGTGGTGGGGGGGAGTCGCGTGAAGGGCATGGCAGGGGTGCTGCAGGCGGCTGCTAAGATGCCCTCGCTGCGCTTCCGCCTTGTAATAGACAACCTCAACCTGCGGGTGATTGCTGTTGCAAGCTCTTCTCGGTTCCAGTTGGGAGCTTGTATCGAGCGGTGGTGTCCGACTATGTATCCCGCTCTTCCTTCGTCAGTCTGGCTTCAGAGGCATCATGCATGCCTCTGCTCATGCAGAACTCTGGATTCCCAAAACTGTATCGAGCGGTGGTGTCCGACTATGTATCCCGGCATCATGCATGCCTCTCCCTGCGCCCCTCTCACTCCATTCCACTCCCTCTCCCTTGCTCGCCTCTTTTTATCACTCTTTCTTCTTCTCCTTCTCCCTGCAGGCAGGAGAGGAGGCGCTCATTGCGCTGCGCCAAGTCCTCCACTCTTCCTTTGTAAGTCTGGTTTCTGAGGCCTCTATTGTTGAGGCGCCCCAAAATGGGACGCCCAAAAAATTGCCCTGCCTCCAGGCATGAGAGTACTTCTGAGGCGCTTCAAAAATTGCCGTGCCTGCAGGCATGAGAGGTATGTAGAATCTAATTTCTCTGTGCCAAGGCCTCCTCTCTTCCTTCGTAAGTTATTATCCAATTTTCATTCCTTACAATTCCTGTTCACTTCGTCTCTGCATTTCCAACTTATACCAGCTTTTGTTTGAGCCAGCCTAATTCGTCATGCTTCCATTCGGTCCCCTGAAAACCCTCTACCAAGCAACCTGCAGCTTTTGAGAGTTATTCTTCAGCTCCCTTGTCTTTCGTCGCCGCAAAAGCCAATGTTCAAGGTGCCTCAAAGCCTTTCTCTTTCTCTTTCAAGTGTACTGCCATTACAAGCCCCGTGCCTTCTCCCATCCCTTCCCGTCAACCCACCTCCAAACGGCCCTTCCCCAACAATGTACGGCCCTTACTTGCCACCTATTTTTCTCCATACCACATTCGCTCTCCTCCCTCCTCTCCCCCCTGCCCCCTTCCCCCTGCCCCCTGTACCCTGCCCTGTCCCCCTGTCACCCCTCACTTCCCAACAGCCCTTCCCCAGCAACGTACAGCTACTCGCCACCTCGCTTTCTCCAGACCTCATTCGCCCTCCTGCTGCTCCCTCCGCTCCTCCCCCTCCTCCTCCTGACGTCAAGCCAACTGAAGTCCACGCTGCTGAGCCATCAATTTCGTCAGAGGCAGGCCAAACGAGCAGCGTCAGCAGCAGCAGCAGCAGCATGTTAGCAGCAGCAGCACCGGTAGCAGCAATGCATTCACGAGAGGGAAGGGCGAAATCGGCACTCACTTTGCCTTTGCTCTGCACGTGGGCCGCTTGAACCCACAGCAGCTGCAGCAGTGCCTCTCTGAGCTCATTCCCTCTGCACTGGCTCAGTCCAGCTCTGCTGCTGGCAGGTGGGAGGGGGCAGGAGAAGCAGAAGATCTAAGTCTCATCTCTGTGATGCAAGCAGCACGGTACCACATGCTATAGGCGAGAGTTTAGGGATCATGGCATGTACGGTACGGTACCACTTTCAGGCACCTCAGAAAATGTCTTGATAGCCCGCTGTCATGGTACCTACTTACGTTGATGGAAGTAAGGCCTCCGCATCCTGCCTGTCTACACCCCCAACAAGCTGCTCCACTAAACAAGATGCCTCTCGACTGACAAGCCTTGGATACGGTAGCTCTAGGCAAGTACACTATCTTTACTACGACAAATACACTATGTTGCATGCTGTGCAAGCAGCAAAGCATCACACTACCGGTACATGATACCTTCAGGACACTTTTGAAGACATGAGCATCCATCTTATTCTCAGAAGTCCTAAACACTTCGATACTGCCTGGTGTACAGACCAAAATGCACAAACAGCTTTTTGCACTTCAGAAGGCAGAAAAAACCGCTACTAAAACTATTCTGATCGAGATACTAGCAGCATACACCTGGTAGTACGTTGCAGCATTGCGGACCGCCTTTTTGGAGGGAGTCGCGGAGCATTGGGATTGGCAGCCAGCATCGCAGTGATCCGGGGTGGAGCCACACCGGCCCTCAGCGCTGCAGCAGAGGCCGTTGGGGCAGACGCGGTTGCCGTTCGCTGCTCCGCACTGGGGCCCGGAACCGGAAGGGGAAAGAGGCGTGTATGGGCTAGGCATGTATGGGCTAGGCATGTATCTCTCGCACGGCCCGGATTGGCATCCAAAGGCGCAGTGACGGGGGGTGGAGCCGCAAAAGCCCCCAACGGTGCAGCATTCGTTGTTAGGACAGACGCTGTTGCCGAAAAGTGCTCCGCACTGCCCGTTGGCGGATAGGGGAGGGGCATCGGAAGGGGGAGGGGCACCGGAAGGGGGAGCGGGGGCGGAACTGTTTCCCCCGCACGGCCCGGATTGGCAGCCAGCGCCGCAGTAATCAGGGGTGGAGCCGCACCAGCCGTCGGCGCTGCAGCAGAGGCCGTTGGGGCAAAGCGTGGTGGCGGAACACTGCTGCTGCGCGCGCGCGCGGAGGGGGAGGTGCGCCGATGAGAGCAGCAGCAGCGCGAGCGGGAGGAGGAGGAGGAGCGGAGGACGCGGCGGGAGAGCGATCGCCATGGCTGGGCGAGTTGACTGGACTCGCAAGGTTCTGGCCGAGGGAAGTGACTCGCCGCGCGTGACGGTTGCTCAAATTCGTCTCTGAGAATCGCGCGAGTGGCTAAATAGGATGGCGTCAAATCTGTTTTTCCAGAATTCTCAAAAAGTGGCTACATAGAATAACGTCCCGGGAATTCTTCATGATGAAGATCGCCGATCTTCATTTATGGTGAGGGTAGGGTGAGCTAGCGTGGAGAGACAGCTAAGAACTTCTAGTGAAGAATGCGTGAGATGAGTGAAGCGGGACTGTTCGAAAGGGGGACTGGGCGGGGAGTATTGGGGACTGAAAGGGGTGCCTACTGCGGTTGGCGACTCGGTATGGAAACTAATGCAGTCTGCAGACCGACGCCTGCGCTTCGCGTGCGTGGGAAGGGTGATATTGCACACGTGCCGCAGAGGATAGGGTTCCATCGTAGAAACGCACATGACATGATGCGCGCGGAACGCCATGACTAAGAACAAAACAAGAACGGAAGGAAGCAAGGAAGCACGCCGACGTACATATGGCAAATACGTACGTACGTATGTATGTGTCTACTTGACAAATGGGCCGATTGCAAAGACTAATGGGGACTCGTGATGGGCATGGGACGGGAGTATCGGTTGAAAATGATTCTGTGGAAAGCAAACCGGTTCATTCACCTCGCCTCTACTAGTTCAGCGGATGTTGCAGGACCTTGTTTTGTCCCCGTTTGCAAAAACTCGAATTCGGAGTTGTGAACTCGAACTGACTAACAAATATATATCGTAGCTATGCGGAAAACTGACACAACACAACTCACCAGTGTCACACTTTGAAATTCTGATTTGACAACCCTTTGCGTCAAGTCCTCCACTCCTCCTTCGTAAGTCATTGTCCAGTTTCCATTCCCTTATATTTCCCTTTCACTTCGTTTCAACTAGCAGGACTGCTGTTTTGCACATGTCCTGCCCTTCGCAAGTATCATGCCCACTCCACTCATCCCATCAACCTCCTCACTCTCGCTGCATGAAAAGCCTATCCCTTCTCTCATCCCTCCCTCCCACTTTCCAACAGCCTCCAGAAATGTACATATACTTGCCACCTTTATTTCTCCATTCCTCATTCACTCTCCTGCCCCATGCCTTCTGTCCCCTGCCCTTGTCAACCCCCAACCTCAACAGCCCTTCCCCGGCAATGTACAGCTTCTTGCCACCTCTCTTTCTCAAGACCTCATTCGCCCTCCTGCTGCTGCTCCCTCCACCGCTCCTCCCGGTGCTGTCGAACCAACCCAAGTCCATGCTACTGAGCCGCCCCTCCCATCAGAGAACGGCGAAACAAGCAGCGTCAGCACCACCGGCAGCAGCAGCAGCAGCATTGTCAGCAATGCATTCACAAGAGGCAAGGGGGGAATTGGCACTCACTTGGCCTTTGCCCTGCACATGGGCCAGTTAACCCCACAGTAGCTGCAGCTGTGCCTCTCTGAGCTCGGTCCCTCTGCACTGGCTCAGTCCGGCTCTGGTGCTGGCAGGTGGGAGGCGGCAGGTGACACAGAGGACCTAAGTCTCATCTCTGTCATGCAAGCAGCACGGTACCACATGCATAGGCGAGTGTGTAGGGATCATAACATGTACGGTGTACCACTTTCAGGCACTTCAGAATAAATCTGGCACATCAGCAACTGTTATTCTTAAGTAGATTGGCCCAGCTGCGTTGGGCGCGCATTTTACTCACACAGCAGCAACCACGAGCAGCACTGACCCACTTAACCAGTACTAGCCACCTGTCATGGTACCGTACCTACTGAAGTTGATGGGATGGAAGTAAGGCCTTTCTCAGCCCACCTGTCTACCCCCGACAAATTGCTCTATCAGCCACAAAGAGCCCTTGGAAATACAGAAGTGTGTATGCTGTGCAAGTAGCAATGCATCACATTACATTTCAAGTCCAGATCACTCCACAATGCTGCCGTGGAAGGAGCACATTGGGCAATCGGATCCCTGACACTCAACCCCCGAGATGGGGTAGTCATGTGTTTGCAAACAGGGCAGGGTCTATGCTTTTGGTCATGTGGATTGAGGTGATGGGCCTGTGGTGAGCATGCATGGGCTGTAGGCTGTCAGCGTGTTTCCACCTCAGCCAGTCAATTTCCACTTCAGAGACATAGTGCTGGAAGTGTGACTTGACTGTACCAAATGTGCGCATGCCTGAAAGTTGTTACTGGAAATGAGTCACTTTATCATTTAAAATCGAGAGTGGGAATGGTCAAACGAAGACTGTGAGAGAATTTGGAGGACGCGAGAAGGAACGGTCAGAATGGGGTGAGGGAGGGTGAATGGAGTGAGTGTGAATGGTGAGATTGCGAGTAGATAGCTGTCCACGTGGTTCTTTGTTTTGAGCGGGTATATTTGCTCAGCAGTGGAAGCAGAACAGTCTGGAAGAAATTTCTTAATTATCTGCAATAGTATAGCTAGGTACACAAAAATTATGTACACTTAATTTCACATCAAGATCCGACTCACTCGTCGTCGTTAATGAATTTCCCTGTACCGGGGTTGATGGCGGCGACGAAGAAGAAGGCGATGCTGGCGAGCAGAAGCGGCTCGAGCTCCCACACGGGGACGCCGATCTCGATGTTCAGCTGCGCCAGCGCGCCCCTGCCCGTGATCACCTCGCCGATCAGGCTCGCCGCAAACCCTAATTGCGCCAGCCGCCCCACGAACAGCTCGTTAGCCTTGGTGAATCCGAACAGCGGCCCGTCCTCGCTCAGCCCCAGCGCCGCCTTGAAGCTCCCCGGCTTCACCGGCGGACCCGCAGGCGCGTCGTCGTCCACGAATCGCCCGCGGTCGCCCAGCCCGCCGATGGCGCCGAGCACGGTGAATGCGATGAAGAAGAGCAGCAGCGGCTCGGTCTCCGTGATGGGGATGCCCGTCTCGATGTTGAGCTGCGACAGAATGCCCGCGCCCGTGATCGCCTCGCCCAGCAGCGACGCCGCGAAGCCCAGCATGGCCACGCGCCCCACGAACAGCTCGTTCGCCTTGGTAAACCCGAACCCGCCCGACGTGCCGAAGATGCCGTCCTCTGTGCGCAGCTTCGTCGCGAGAACACTCTTAGCGGGGACGGCGGCTTTGCGCGAGCTGAAGAGCGCGGTGACGCCGAGTCCGCGGGGCGCGACTGGTAGGGGAAGAGCGGGGAGGCTGCGGGTAGCAATCTCGGTGCCTCTGACGGCAGAGCTGAAGGAAATTCCTGAAAGGACCTGACGAGCAGCGAGTGTGGAGGCCATGGCTGTTGGACGGATTGAGACGAACTGAAAGAGCGGGGCGTGAGAGGAAGTTCGAGGGAGGAACGCTAGGAACGATATTGATTCCAGGCACTTGTGAAATCAGGAAGTGAGGCGAAACTGAATTTGTACTGTCCCACCAAGAATGCGGTAAAATTCAGGCGAGGCGCGGTATGTTGCTCTGCTCATCTCATCGCAGCTCGCTTGCACCTGGTGCAACCTTTTGGGAAATTGGTCTGACAATTGCTGACGTGGCATAACCTGGAGCGGAAGTCTCTTGTGAGGGACGTGGACGTTCCTGGTGCTCTAGATCTTCTGAGGAGAGATGCACCGTGAATGTGTTGACTGGGCGACGTGGCGGTGCGGTGCTGGCTAAATGCTGCTGACATGGATGTGAAAAGTGGTTCCCTTCCTTCCATTCTAGCAGCTGCTTTCGTGGTCAGCACTGGCGAGCATACTTGGGAAGGGGAATCGAACTGTATTTGCGAATTTTGACAGGACTCTCGAAAACTCCCGCATTAAATATCACAAGAGCATCCGCAATATTACAACTCCGAGTTGGGAATTATGAATGGCGTAAAACCGCGCATTAACGTTAATACGGACTCCCAATCATACACACAAGGAAATTTCACTCACATTGCGATGTTTCTAGATTGAGCCATCCATGCCTCGATCAATACACTCATCGGCGTACACGGACCAGCATTTGCCACATGCTCTCCCATTTTCATATTGTCTGCCCCATATGTCAGAAGCCCTACTCTGGTCTTGGGGCGTGTTCCTACGGCCCCCTATCAGAGCTTCCTCATATCAGGCTAGCAACGCTCCCCTGTAAATCGGCAATTACGCGAAAACCTCTTGTCAGGAATTCTTGACGGGTTGGGCTGATGCGCGACTATAAATGTTTGCTGATGTGGCACCATGCGACTAACCACTGTAAATGCGCGCAACGGCACAGCTGAGTACCCTCGGGCGAAACCACATCCCACACCGCTCAAGCATCGTCACATTGCTCCTGGCCCATCTCCTCCAGCCAAAGCAGTCACCTATTTCAACGAAACACGAGGACGTGACATCACATGGTTTTCCATTAGTAGGGCCGCCATGAATGACGTACCCTTCCTACCCCGTCTGTTGATCGTGTGGCACACTTTTTACTACAACACGTTTTTCGCGCTTGCTACCAAGGCTTGTACTCAGTTTCTCGAGCACATAGACGCATCAGAGGATGAGGGAAGCAACGTGGAATCGCGTAGTGAGATTCAGGCACGGAACCGTCGTCTACGGCGGCGGCGGTTAGAGATATGGTTGGACGAAATGGAGGCGATGCCTGACGAGACGTTTATGGACTTGTTCAAAATAAATCGAGCGATCCTAGACTACATATGCGAAGGAATGCGAGCGACATTAAATCCGGTTATACAGAGACATGCTTTGCTGATTAGCGTCGCCATACTGATACCGATTAAATACTTCACGAGTGCTCTGTCATACGTGAACCTCGCGTTCTGGTTTGGAGTTCCGAAAACGCTATGCCATTTGCTCGTGGATATTTTTCTCACCACTTTCCCGTGTGTGTTCAAATCTGCATGGGTCCGTTTCCCGACAGGAGACGAAAAGCGCATTATGGCAGAGGAGTTCCGAAGCATTAAGGGGATTCCGGCAGTGATAGGAGCAATCGATGGCACGCATGTTCAAATCAGGGGCATGGAGGGCCATAGGTCAGAGTATTGGACAAGGAAATCCCAATACGCGGTTCAGATGCAAATCACATGCGACGCGAAAGGCAACATCTGGGATTACCTCATAGGGTTCCCCGGCACAGCACACGACCAGCGGGTGTTCATTAAATCAAGCCTCTACGAGCGACTAGAAAAAGGCGAGATCTCTCCGTACCAACTGGTCGGCGACGCAGCTTACCCCCTTCGGGACTACTGCCTCACACCCTTACATGCTCCCACAGGCCGCCTGATGCTAGAGTGGGAACAAACATACAACTACTGCCAGTCGGCCACACGGATGCCTGTTGAGCGCACCATCGGTCAATTTAAGGGCCGCTACCGCCTTTTCGCCGGCCGACACGATTGTGCACTTTGGCGCGTGCTCGCCGGCGCTAGTTGTGTCGTAATCCTGCATAACATGTTAGAATTACTAGTTAGATGAGAAGTGTCGATTAGGTAAGGGGGGGGGGGTACAAGGACTATCGAGAGAGATTGTTGTACCCTCTAAGGAAAGAACCCTACACAACCTCGAGAGAAATAAGCAGAACAATATGTTTTGACACACCCCCATAGGTGAAGTAGGGGATAGCCAAGCCTAACAGTGGTCACAAGACCAGTCAAGCAAGAGAACAAGCAAGGCAAAGCCCAGGGTGGATCTCAAGGACACCACACAATCTGAGCACAAGCAGGCAGCCACAAGGCCAGTTCACATGCAGATTTATAAGAGCAAGGCAGTACACAGATCACAACCTAGCAAGAGGAAACATGCAGGTATAAAGATATATAGCAGTGTACAACAAGAGCAACTCAAGCAACCAGCAGGTGAGGCAGAGTGGGCACAAGCCCAAGAGCAGTGCAGGAACGCTGATGATCACCAGCCGCAAGGGCCTTGGTGAAGACATCAGCAGTGTTGGCCCGAGAGGCCACGAAAGCAAGGCGCAGCTGACCACGCTGCTGCAGCTCACGCGCAAGGAAGTAGCGCAGAGCAATGTGCTTCGTTCTGTGCTCCAGTCTCTGCTCGCGACACAAGGCACGCATTGCCTTGTTGTCGACGTACAGAACTGGAGGAGAACGAGGCCGCTCCCCCAAGTCGGTCAGCAGGTAGGTCAGCCAACGGAGCTCCTGTGCAGCCATGGCCCCAGCGTAGATCTCGGCCTCACAGCTGGAACCAAGCACAGAAGAAGAACGAGTGGACCTCCACGAGACAGAACCAGCGCCAAGACTGAAGGTGTAGCCCTGTGACGAACGCTGAGTCGCCTGGTCGTCGGCCCAAGAAGCGCCAGAGTGTCCTGTGAGGACCACCAAACCCCGTCCTCCAAGCACGAGCCCCATGCCTGATGTGCTGCACAAGTAACGCAGTACCCTCTTCGCAGCATCAAAGCGCACCTTTCGGTGCCTACCGGGTGCCACGTAGCGAGCCAGAAGGCTGAGAGGGTACGCGAGGTCAGGTCGTGTGCACGTCATCAGGTACATGAGGCAGCCCACAAGCTCTGGGTACGGACCACTCGGCTCTACGGACTCGTCCGAAGGTGGAGCTGAGAGCGAGTGGCCGGTAGCTAGAAGAGTGGGCTGTGGCGAGGAGTACGTGAAACGGAAGCGCTGAAGGACCTGGTGCACCATGTGTGACTGAGTCAGGGTGATGGTGCGCCGTGCTCTGTCCCGGGTGATCTGCAAGCCAAGATAGCTCCGCAACTCACCCAGGTCAGTGCAGGTGTGTCTCTCCTGCAGCTCCGCCTTCACTAGGGCCAGTGCCTCAGTATCAGCAGTAGCAAAAACCAAGTCGTCGACGTACACGAGGATGTAGAACGGCGGCAGAGTAGTGTCGGTGCGTAGAAACAGCGACGGGTCAGCAGTCGAAGGAGCAAACCCAAGAGCCGCAAGTGTCGTCCTCAGTGTGTCGTGCCACTCGCGGGGCGCCTGACGCAGGCCGTACACTGGTCGCCGTAGGCTCCACTGGGTACCCTCAGGAAACGACCCAGTGAAGCCCTGTGGACGGCGCAACCAGATGGCCTCGTGAAGGCTACCCTGCAAGAAAGCTGTCGAGAAGTCGAGGGAGTGCAGCTCGTAGTCACGCTGAGCTGCAACGTGTAGCAACACCCGAAGAGTGGTCATCTTCGGGGTGGGGGAGAAGGTCTGAAAGAAGTCGACCCCCTCACGCTGACTGAAGCCTCGAGCAACGTAACGTGCCTTGAAGGCAGGCGGAGAACCCGGCGGCCGCTTCACCCTGAAAATCCACATGCCACTGACGATGTTCGCCCCAGGTGGGGGAACCTCGTCGACGTAGGTGCCTGTGGACTTCCAGGAAGCCATCTCTGCGTCCATGGCTGTCTGCCACTGAGAGGAGTACTCACCCGAAATCGCCTCCCTGTAGGAGCGCGGGGTGGGGATGTCAAGTGCATCCGGGTCTCCCTCAGGGGCAAGCAGCATGGTCGCGTGATGGGGTGAAGCGGCATCAAGGCACTCCAACTCCTCCTGTCTGTCCTCAAGAACGTCACAGCCAAGGGCAGTGCAGCCAAGAGCAGTCTCACCCCCGACGGACGGAGGACAGGCAGGGACAGGGTCAGAGACAAGACTCGCAAGGTAGTCTAGGCGGTACACAGCAGCAAAGTCAACGAGCTCAGCTACTAGGGCAGACGCAGCAGGAGACGAGAACGTAGGGTCCGTCACAACCATAGCAAGAAGGCGAGTAACAGTCGGACTGGACGCACGAGCAAGGTCAGACGGAGGGTCAGCAACGTCAGGCAAAGAGGACGCAGGAGGTAACGGTAGGACAACACGCTGAGGAACAGAGGAAGGACAGAGTGTCATATCGTGAGTGCCGGGGACAGCCGGAGGACGCTGACGACGAACACGAGGAACACGAGCACGGACAGCAGCTCTAGGCTCAGGCTCAAGGTCAAAGCTAGACTCAGGCTCTCGACGCTCAGGGGTGGAAGCACGAGTCTCAGGCTCTCGACGCTCAGTCAGGGACTCTGACACCGCAGTGTAAGGAGCAGGAGCAGGCAGTGGGGAGTGTGGTAGCAGCGGCGGCTGTGACTGGTCTGCCGGTGGACACAGCAACGGAGGAGTAGTACCTGCCACAGGGAAGCCAGTAGCACCTGGCTGAAGACTGAGAAGGTGGCGAAGAGCACCAGTAGCTCCACCAGGACCTCCAGCACCTCCAGCACCTCCAGCCCCAGCAGCTCCAGCGCCTCCAGCACCAGCAGCTCCAGCAGCTCCACGACCTCCAGCACCAGCAGTACCTCCAGTACCTCCAGCACCAGCAGCTCCACGACCTCCAGCACCAGCAGCACCTCCAGTACCTCCAGCACCAGCAGCTCCACCAGGACCAGCAGCACCTGCAGCTCCCCGACCTCCAGCACCAGCAGCACCTCCAGTACCTCCAGCACCTCCAGGACCTCCAGCACCAGCAGCACCTCCAGGACCTCCAGCACCAGCAGTACCTCCAGTACCTCCAGCACCAGTAGCTCCAGGTCCTCCGGTAGGAGCTCCGACGACACCAACACCAGAAGGACTCGCAGCACCCCCAGAGTCAGCACCCGAACTCGCAGCACCCCCAGAGGCAGGACCCTCGGTCTCAGCACTCGCAGGCTCAGTACCCTCAGTCACAGCACCCTCAGGCCCAGTACCCTCAGTCCTAGCACCCCCAGGCTCAGTACTCTCAGTCCCAGCACCCCCAGGCTCAGTACCCTCAGTCCCAGCACCCCCAGGCTCAGTACCCTCAGTCTCTGCTCCAGTGTCCACAGCAGCAGGCTGCAGAGGCGGCGAAGACGGCAGAGGTGGGAACCCGGGGGGTTTAGCCAGACGAGGAGAGCGGGCACCCCCGGACTCACCACCCCCAGCCCCAGCTCCAGTAGTCTCAGCTCCAGAGTCCACAGCAGCAGGCTGCGGAGGCGGCGAAGACGGCCGTGGCGGGAAACCCGGGGGGGTCTCCAAGCGAGGAGTGCGGCGAGTGGTCGCCGTGTCGTATGCGACGGCGTCACCCCCCTCAGGTGAGTCAGAGGAGTCAGAAGAGATCTCAACTGGCTCATCCAAGGGGGGTGGGTCTACCTGGGACACAGCTGAGGGAGCAGGACCCTGTGGGGGAAGGGGGTCTACCGGGGGGGGGACTGGTACCAGGAAGAGAGGTGCGAGAGGGACCGGGTGGGACGCGTGCGGGTGAAGTCGGTAGTAACAGACCGACTCGTCAAAGGTGACATCCTGAGAGGACAGAACACGACGCGAGGCAGGGTGGTAGAACTGCCAGGGTGGAGCGTCGGTGGGGAAGCCCAGGAAGACACAGCGGAGAGTGCGAGGGGAGAGCTTGCTCGCTTTGGTATCGCGAACAAGGGAGAGCGCGCCCAAGACCCGAAACGACGACGCATCACCAGGCTGTCCCGTCCAACGGAGTGTGGGCGAGGTCTCTGGAGCAGAGACACGGGGCCAGAGGTTGAGCTGATGCGCGGCGTATCGGACCGCAAACGGCCACAGGAAATGGGGAGCAGCCGCATGGATCATGGAGGTACGAGCAACCTCCATGATCAGGCCAATGCGACGCTCAGCGATCCCATTTTGCTGCGGAGAGGCCGGAAGCGTGAACGACTGGGCGATGCCCTCATCCTGACAGAACGTCTCAAGGACGCCAGAGGAGAACTCACCACCCCTGTCAGAGTGCAGACGCAGGACTGGAAAGTCCCGTCGAAACCGCTCGCAGCTGGTGACGAGTAGCACGGATCCAGGGGATCAAGACACCACTGACATCCGCCTTGCGCCGTGTAGTCGTCAACCACCAGCAGGAAGTAGCGCTCCTGGTCCGTTCCACCGACAGGGGCTGGGCCCCAGACGTCCATGTGGAGAGTCTGCAGAGGAGCAGTGGTCGGAGGAAACTCGGAGGAGTGAGGAGCGGCGCGCTGCCGCCCCTCGACGCAAGGAAGGCACGGCGGCGCAAGTGAGCGCGGGAGGGGGGGCAGGGTCTCAGGGAGGCCAGTGACCAGGAGCCAGGAGTGCATGCGGCGCAGACGCTGCAGGGAGGGGTGACCAAGACGGTGGTGCCAGCGCTGAGTCTCGTGCGTGAGTACTCGGCACGAGCAAGACGCAGCTAACTGCCCTGACGCAGACGCTCGACTCGACGTAGCTACCTGACCTGACTCAGCCACCTGTGCAGACGCAGTGGTCAGTGTGTACAGACTAGACCCAGGCTGTCGAGTGAACGTAGCCAGGTGACGGCCAGTCCGGGAGCACGTACAGATCGCCACACGCTGCCCTCCAGGAATAAAGGTATCAACCCAGACATCCTGAATGGCAGCGTTGCTCACCAAGTTCGTCGAGAACGTGGGGAGGTGGAGACCTGACAAAGAGCCGGAGGGGACTGCTGGACAAGGGAGGACCGTGGAGGCTCTCGCAACCACTGGGCCCCCAGAGGGGTCAGCCAGTGAGACTGGGACAGGTGCTGTGAGTGGTGTGACTGTGGTGCAATCACGGAAGAAGCAACGTGACGCGCCGGAGTCAAGCGTGAAAGTGTGCAAGACCTCAGCTGAGGCAGGACCTGTGGTAGTAGACGCACTAGAAACTAGAGCGTCGGTAGACTCACGGGCACCTAGAGCTGCAGCAGACTCACTAGCACCTGGAGTGGCAGCAGACTCACTAACACCTGGAGTGGCAGCAGACTGACTAACACCTGGAGTGGCAGCAGACTCACTAACACCAAGAGCAGCGGTCTTAACAGAACGATAACCTCCACCACCAGGACGACCTCGCTGAATAACCCACTCACGAAGCTGCCGAGGGGTGGGGTCGTCCGGGAGAAGCAGTGCCCGCTGCTGTCCACCCCTGGCCGCAGCGACTGCCGCGGAAGTGGCCATGACAGACAGTGACTGTCAGGAGTAGGTCCAGCACCTCCAGCTCCTACAGCGCCAGCAGCACCTCCTACACTCCCAGCAGCACCTCCTCCACTCCCAGTAGCACAAGTAGCAGCAGCAGCAGCAGTAGTAACAGCAGCAGGGCGGTTCGGTGGGGGTGGGAGGCCGCACCTCCACCACTCCCAGCAGTACTCCCTCCAGTAGCAGCAGTAGCAGGGCGGCTCGGGCAGCAGCAGCAGCAGCAGTAGACCGAGTAGCACTAGCTGTAGCAGTAGTAGTTGCAGTAGCAGCAGCAGTGACAGCTCGGGCTGGGCAGCGCGGCTCGGACACAGTGGCAGAGCAGCAGTAGCACTAGCTGTAGCAAGTGCAGTAGTAGGAGCTGCAGCAGTAGTACTAGCTGTAGCAGCAGTAGCTTCAGTCAAGCAGCAGTAGCTTCAGTCAGGAGCAGCTGTAGCAAGTGCTGGAGTAGGAGCTGAAGCAGTAGCACTAGCTGTAGCAAGTGAAGTAGTAGGAGCTGCAGCAGTAGTACTAGCTGTAGCAGAAGTAGCTTCAGTCAGTAGCAGCTGTAGCAAGTGCAGTAGTAGGAGGTGCAGCAGTAGCACTAGCTGTAGCAAGTGAAGTAGTGCTAGCTGTAGCAGCAGTAGCAAGGAGGAGCAGCTGCAGCAAGTAGCAGCAGCAGTAGCAAGGAGGAGCAGCTGCAGCAAGTAGCAGCAGCAGTTCAGGGCAGTACAGGCGGCAGTAGCACTGCAGCAGCAGTTCAGGCGCAGCAGTGTAGCAGCAGCAGCGAGTGCAGCAGTAACACGGGCCGCGTGCGGGCCAGGCGCGGGCTGTAAGAGCTGGGTGCGGGCCTGACGTGGGCTGTACGGGCTGCGCGACGGCCTGGCGCGGGCTGTACGGGCTTCGCGACGGGCCTACGCGGGCTGTACGGGCTGTGGGCGTGCAAACCAGGGGCGCGCAACAGGTGCGTGCGGGGCAGCACTACGAGGAGCGCGCATCAGGTGCGTGCTAGGGGCTGGCGGGCAGCGTGAGTGGCGCGCGCAGCAGCAGGAACGAGGGGGGGACCGGGCGTAGGGGCTGACGGGCCGCGCGAGAGGCGCACGGGGCAGCTAGGGCTCGGTCAGGGGGGTCGCACGTGACTAGGAACAGAAAATCGCGTCTAGGCAGAAAACGGAACCGTCTCGCCTAGGGCACGTTTTCGCATTTCGCGTTTCTCCTAGGGGCGCGACTCGGGCAGCAGGTCGAAATAGTAGTGGTGGGCCCTTTTAAAATTTCGGTCCTATGGAGCATTGTGCTCTTAATACCATGTTAGAATTACTAGTTAGATGAGAAGTGTCGATTAGGTAAGGGGGGGGGGGTACAAGGACTATCGAGAGAGATTGTTGTACCCTCTAAGGAAAGAACCCTACACAACCTAGAGTGAAATAAGCAGAACAATATGTTTTGACATAATATGGGGATTGCCATGGCTGGTTCGCGAATGAAAAACCCGAACCACAAATGGGAAGCTATAGCCCTCAACCGCGACCCATGGTGGACGAGGGGCGAATTGGCAATGTACAACTGGAGTGCGAGTGAGACTGGCACGGCGGCTGAGCTGAAAGAGCGGCGCAAGAGGCTCGGCGAGACGCTGCACGATGCCTACCTTAAGCGACGTCGTCGCGACGCCATTCCTCAATCCCGTCACTAAGGTCGGCACTAGCATGAAGCTCGCTGCCGTCACGGCGGTCACGCCAACCGTCGTCGTCACCGTGGCGCGTTCCCGAGAAGTGAAGCGGACGGCTGGTCTGCGACTGCTGCGTTGCCATCCACTCTCGAATAACCCCGGTAATTTGAGCGACGCCATCAGCCGAGCACTGCTTGAGAGTGTCGGATAAGAGTTGGGCGGCAGCCATCGTGGCTGTGTCGTTCACCCTACGACGAGCACTGGGCGGGGTGCTACGCACTAAAAACAAGACAGGGAGATAGGCGGTATTATAGGCGGCTGTTGATGTATGTGTGTATGAATGTTTTTTTGTAGAACGTGATCATACTAAAGGCGTCCTGCAGGGATGAGTCTTGTTACATGCAGAGAATGAGAAGGGTCGGATAACTTACTCGTTGTGGCTGTAGCATCCGTCTTGGCAGGCGTGGGGACTTTGAGCCCGGGGTCGACGTTGACCTCAACCGCACCGCCGCCGTCCAGGGCATGCGGCTCCGCGGCTGCCGTGTCCTTATAAAAAAGGACCATCCACTCCCACCACGGCGGCTTAATTACTGTCGCCCCTCCAGACGCGGATTCGCCCTTCTCGACTTGTTTCCACAACGCCTTCAGCCGCTTCCACTGGTTGGTGCAGGCCGTTTCATTGCGATTCCAATCAGGGTGTTGCAGTTTAATGTGCTCGATAAGCCGGAGCCAGTACTGCGACCCCTGTTTACCCGTCATCTGCTGAAGTTCTTCCTTGGTGAACCAACGCGCGGCCACGAGAATGGTCGACTCTTTGGCCGACCACTCCGGGCGCTGGCCTTTCTGCGCGATACCGCTCAAGGCACCTTCGGCGGTCGTCTCTGTCCCGGCAACAGCCTTGCCGGTACGCTTCACCCTGCCGCGCTGGTTCGGTGGAGCTCCGCTCAAGGACGCAGTGGCGGCGGCATCCGTGGTCTCTTCGGCAGGGCCGTTGTACTGGGCGTCCCCGTGCCATGCTGCGACGGGATCGTCGCCATCAGATCCGCCCTCCAATTCGTCGTCGTCAGTATCCTTTTCAGGGTACTCCTCATCGGTGTCGTAGTCAGGAGGAATAGGACCACGCCTGCGGTGCGGGTTGACCACAGATTGCGCTGGCGTTGTTACGCCTGACTGCACATTACGAAGAGGCTTAGAGGTAGGTCTTCCGCCGGCTATTTCCGCATTCATCCACCTAATGTAAGCTAAATCGTCCGGTCGCCATGCTGGCTCCTCTGTTGCTCCGACATTGCCCTTGCGTTTGCGGGCCATGCTAAGGAAACGTTGGCTAAACGAATGACGAGCTGTCGGGTCTTGTCGGGTTTGTTATGTAGCTGTGAAACACCTCCATTCTCTGGTTGGATTTGTGCTTGTTTGTTTGTGAGTGCGCCGGGTAAGTTCTGTACGTGCAGGCAAGACATGGTAGGATTGTGCGCGAATGTTTTGCCGCGTGGCGGCAAAACACCCAATGTTTTACAAATCGTGCAAAAATGGCACGTTTGAGCGTGCACCACGATGGCCGTGTCACCATCATGCACAGTTTAGTGTGCCGGCAGTCTGACACTTTCGACGGTTCGAGCTGGTGTTACTGCCGTGCACTGGTGAGTCAGCACGTCCGTGCGATGCAATGCGAGTGCTCTCATTCGTGCGCGTTTTCGATATTGGGCTGACAAGAGGTGTTATATAACTTTGACCACAATGTTTTCATATCTGATAGAAGGAAGCTCTGATAGGGGGCCGTAGGAACACGCCCTTAGACTAGAACAGAACACTTCAATACTGCCTGGTGTACAAACCAAACATACGGTACTACCAAATGCACGCACCCACCCACACACACACACACACACAACTTATTGCGCTTTAGAAGGCAGATAAAGCCGCTATTAAAATAGTAGCGATCGAGATACTAGCAGCATACACCTCATAAGTTGGAGCATTGCGGACCGCCTTTTTGGGGGGAGTCGCGGAGCATTGCGATTGGCAGCCAGCGCCGCAGTGATCCGGGGTGGACCCACACCAGCCAAACTTGCTGCAGCAGAAACCCTTGGGGCACACGCGGTTGCCGTTAGCTGCTCCGCATTGGGGAACGGCCGCAGAAGTGTTTTTCCCGCACGGCCCGGATTGGCAGCCAGAACCGCAGTAGTCAATTGTCGAGCCGCAATAGCCCGCAGAGCTGCAGCAGAGGTTGTTGGCGCAGGTGCTGTTGCCGTTTGCTGCTCCGCATTGGCCGTTGGCGGAAGGGGCACCGGAAGGGGGAGGGGCACCGGAAGGGGGGAAGGCCGCGGAGTTGTTTCCCCCGCACGGCCCGGATTGGCAGCCGGCGCCGCAGTAATCGACGGTGGAGCCGCAATAGCCCGCAGTGCTGCAGCAGAGGTTGTTCGGACAGACGCTGTTGCCGTTTGCTGCTCCGCACTGAGCGGAACCAGATGACGGGGGAGGGGCGCCGCTGGAAGGGGGAGCGGGGGCGGAAGTGTTTCCCCCGCACGGCCCAGATTGGCAGCCAGCGCCGCAGTAATCGGGGGTGGAGCCGCAATAGCCCGCAGCGCTGCAGCAGAGGTTGTTGACGCAAAGCGTGGTGGCGGAGCACTGCTGCGCGCGCGCGCGGAGGGGGAGGTGCGCCGATGAGAGCAGCAGCAGCGCGAGTGGGACCAGGAGGAGCGGAGGACGCTGCGGGAGTGTAGGGAACGCCATGGCTGGGCGTGTTGAGTAGACTGGCGACAAGGTTCCGGCCATTCACCGTGCGTGACAACTGCTTGGATTATTCAGACGTCTCAGAGTATGACTCGCCGCGCATGATGATCGCTCAAATCCGTCTTTGAGGATCGCGCGAGTGGCTAAATAGGATGGCGTCGGGGATCCTTTGAGAATTCTAAAAAAAATCCTTACATCGTCTGGAATCTTAGGTGAAGATCGGATGGGAGGGGTGAGTCCGACTGGAACTGCTAAGAATGGTGAAGCGGACTCCGGAGGGAAATTGGCGGTGCGGACCGGCGGGGACTATGGGGGACTGAAGGGGTGCTACTGCGGCTACAACACGTTGGCGACTCGGCGTGGAAAATAATGTACAGCTGCACCTGAGCGTCGCGTGTGTGGGACGGGTGATGCTACACTCACGCTGTAAAGGATAGGGTCCCATCGTGGAAACGCACATGATGAGTGCGGAACGCGACGACTTTGAATTGAACAATTACTGCTGTCAGGAAGCACGATGACCGACGAGCCGAGATCTATTTCTCGGACGAGACGAGAGTCTAGGGAGTCTGGTCTTGCTGCGTCTGCTTGAGAAATGGTCCGATTGTTTGATCGAATGTGAAAGGAAGACTACGCACAGCGCAAATGCCGTCCCGTGATGGACACTGGACAGGAGATAGCACAAGCAAGCTATGGGTGGTGGTGTGGGGGGTCTTGAAGTGTGCGTGACAGCGATTTTGCGAAAATCATGCGATCATCGAAAGCGTTCGTTCACCTCGCCTCGTACCAATTGTATTGTGGAACCCTATGCCCTGTACCCGTTTGTAAAAAACTCGAATTCGGACTCCGACTTCATTGTAAAGAAGCGAGCCATGCCACAACAGAACTTTCTGTTAGGGCAATACGAATTCCCAAGCGCGAAAGGGTGATTGAGACGCACTGAAACTATACGTGCTGCAACATCCCTCAAGTTGAAGGCGTCACATGGTCAATATGTGATTAATGCTTCAAATTGAGTATGATCATTGTCAAATATGGCATTAGCAACAGGTTCACATGACACATTCCCCTTGAAGTGAAGTGTTTGCTTTGACATTATCGCCTTTCACGAAGCATTTTAACAATATTAGCGACCCACCCACTGGAATTCTGAACTGGCAAACTCGAGAACTCAACAGTGACAGCACGTCTATGGCTCCTACGGCCGAAGCGCAAGGGATTGAGAAAATTCCCCAACTACTCAAGAACGTCAGCATAGCAGCGTAGCGGCAGCGGGCAGAAGTATAAAAGAGTTGTTCACTGAGAAACACCCAGGCTCTCTCGCACTTTCTGTTGTGAGTGTTGGGAGAAAGGAGTGTTGGGGGGCGGAGGGGAGAGGGGGAAAGAGAGAGTGAGAGAGTGGTGCGAGAAGGGCTGGGGAGATGGGAGTGGAGTAGATGAGGGTTGCAAAGGTGAGAGGAGTGAAAAAAGGGAGAGGTGAGATAGGAAAAAGGAGGCTTGCCATGCAAATTGTGGTGGTGCCATATGCCACGTGCCATGTGCCATGTGCCATGAGCCATGCGCCATCCGCCGTGCGTTATGTGCCATGTGCCATGTGTCATGAGCCATGCGCCATCCGCCGTGCGTTATGTGCCATGTGCCATGTGTCATGAGCCATGCGCCATGCGTTATGTGCCATGTGCCATGTGTGTGCAATGTGCAATTTACCCATGAGCAGCGCAACCTAATAGCAGTTCCCATGTGCATCATGATGGCGGATCCATGTGATGTGAGTCATGTACCATGCACTAACGTACCATGTGCTAACGTACCATGCACTAACGTACCATGTGCTAACGTACCATGCACTAACGTACCATGTGCTAACGTACCATGTGCTAACGTACCATGCACTAACGTACCATGTGCTAACGTACCATGTGCTAACGTACCATGCACTAACATACCATGTGCTAACGTACCATGCACTAACGTACCATGTGCTAACGTACCATGTGCTAACGTACCATGTGCTAACGTACCATGTGCTAACGTACCATGTGCTACCATGCATCCCACATCCCATCTTCAGCAGGGCAATGTAGCAGAAGTCTTCCATGTGCATCATGATGGCTGACCCATGTGCATCAGGTGCCGTGCATCATGTATCACATACAACCACATGTCCCACACCCCACCTTGAGCAGAGCAATGTAATAAAAGCCCTCCATGTGCATCAAGATGGCAGATCGATGTGGAGTGAGTCACGTACCATGTCCTACCATGCATCCCACACACCCACATGTCCCCACACACCTTGAGCAGAGCGATGTAAAAAAAGTCCTCCATGTGCATCATGATGGCGGATCCATGTGCGTCATGTAACATGTACAACCACATGCCCCACACACCCACCTTGAGCAGAGCGATGTAATAAAAGTCCTCCATGTGCATCATGATGGCGGATCCATGTGCGTCATGTAACATGTACAACCACATGCCCCACACACCCACCTTGAGCAGAGCGATGTAATAAAAGTCCTCCATGTGCATCATGATGGCGGATCCATCCCTCAGGGCCGACAGCATCGCCACTTCCGTCTGCAAGAGCCGGTCGATCAGCCGCCGCTCGCCCTTCATCTGGATTTAAGGGGGGAAAGGGGGAAGAAGGAGGCACGGCAGGCGTGCGGGAGCCGCCATGATGGGTTCAGACCAGATCCATCCCTCAGCGCTGACAGCATCGCCACTTCCGTCTGTAACAGCCGGTCGATCAGCCGCCGCTCGCCCTTCATCTGGATTTAAGGGGGGGAAGGGGGAAGAGGGAGGCATGGAAGGCGTGCGGGAGCCGCCATGATGGGTTCAGACCAGATCCATCCCTCAGCGCTGACAGCATCGCCACTTCCGTCTGCAACAGCTGGTCGATCAGCCGCCTCTAGCCCTTCATCTGAAAGGGTAGAGGGTGAGGGGAGATTCACAGTTTTCCATCGCGAGTCAGACACAGCCTATGGCTGTACTAGTCAATCCACTACATCCTTTTTTCGAGTCCACTCAAATTCCGTGTGTGACGAGTCTGTTTTTGAGTCATCTTAAAAAACTGCGTCGACTCAAAAACAGTTCTCCATCGCAAGTCAGACACAGCCTATGGTTGTACTAGTCAATCCGCATCCTCTTCGTGTCCAGCCTCCTGAACGTGCCTGTTACGTGTTCTTTTAACATCCTATACTTGAGGTGCGCAAAAACCAGAATGCACATCGCACACATGGTGAAATGCAAAAAAAGAATTCTAAAAAATAAAATAAAATCATCCAAGAAATGCACATCCCAGACATGCTGCAAACAACCCCCTAACAGACTCTCTAGCTGCCTGTCTAACATGGAGTGTCTTGTATAGGTACGTGCATGTATGCATGAGTGCATGTCTCACATAATCCTCTAAAATGTCGTTGGCATTCGCCTCCCCCACCACCTCGGCAGCACCCCCATCATCCACTCCACATGCGCATGCACATGCACGTGTACGTCCACACATACAATGGAGACATCTGATCGTCTAGCTGCATGTCTCACATAGTCTTCTAGAATGTCGTTGGCATTGGCCTCCCCCACCACCTCGGCTGCATATCCATCATCCACCCCACATGCATATGCGTATGCACACTCATAGAGAAAACACCCCTTATAGAATCTCTAGGCATGCATGTCTCACATAGTCCTCTAGGATGTCGTTGGCATTGGCCTCCCCCACCACCTCGGCTGCATATCCATCATCCACCCCACATGCATATGCGTATGCACACTCATAGAGAAAACACCCCTTATAGAATCTCTAGGCATGCATGTCTCACATAGTCCTCTAGGATGTCGTTGGCATTGGCCTCCCCCACCACCTCGGCTGCATATCCATCATCCACCCCACATGCATATGCGTATGCACACTCATAGAGAAAACACCCCTTATAGAATCTCTAGGCATGCATGTCTCACATAGTCCTCTAGGATGTCGTTGGCATTGGCCTCCCCCACCACCTCGGCTGCATATCCATCATCCACCCCACATGCATATGCGTATGCACACTCATAGAGAAAACACCCCTTATAGAATCTCTAGGCATGCATGTCTCACATAGTCCTCTAGGATGTCGTTGGCATTGGCCTCCCCCACCACCTCGGCTGCATATCCATCATCCACCCCACATGCATATGCGTATGCACACTCATAGAGAAAACACCCCTTATAAAATCTCTAGGCATGCATGTCTCACATAGTCCTCTAGGATGTCGTTGGCATTGGCCTCCCCCACCACCTCGGCTGCATATCCATCATCCACCCCACATGCATATGCGTATGCACACTCATAGAGAAAACACCCCTTATAAAATCTCTAGGCATGCATGTCTCACATAGTCCTCTAGGATGTCGTTGGCGTTCGCCTCCCCCACCACCTCGGCTGCGTACCCATCATCCACTCCTAGCTGCTCCTGTGATGCATCCGACTGCCATGTGCACAGGCACACATACACACATACACACATGCGCTCATACATGAACTCACGCACGGACACATGCGCAGATGGGCATGACGGAGACACATGCGTGACGGAGACACATGCATGACGGAGACACATGCATGATGGAGACACATGCATGATGAAGACACATGCATGGTGGAGACACATGCATGATAGGACATAATCATGTCAGAAACACCTGAAGTCATGATTATCTGAGAAGCACCTGAATGTCGCGTCCACCTGAAGGTCACACTTACCTGAAAATCATAACCCACCTGAAGATCATAACCCACCTGAAAATCATAACCCACCTGAAGATCATAACCCACCTGAACATCAGAACCCACCTGAAAGATCAGAAACCACCTGAAGATTGTAACCCACCTGAAGATCATAACCCACCTGAAGGTCACCTGAGGGCCCTCCTGGGCTGAGGTAGACAGGGCAGCACACATGGCGGTACCCCATTAGCTTGGGCACTGTGGGGACGATGTCAGCTCGATTCACAATGCGCCAGCTGTCACGCATGTACTGGTGGGAGCGAGCAGGGGTGGGCGGGTGGGTAGGAGGGGGGGAAGGAGGTGTGGAGAGAAAGGGAAAAGGAATGATCTAATATGGTGAAAGGAAAGGGGATGGGGGAAAAGTAAACGCTGCACCATTTCAAGCTTCCTGTCCCGTCCCTGCTGCATCACCGGGGTTTGTGTTGATCTTGGTGATGCGGTGGGGAGAGAGGGAGGGATAACACGTGGCAAGAAAAGAGCCACCTGAATGGATTCAGGGCGTTTGGTGGGGTGTGACCCTGGCAGGGATGTTTGGCCGTAACGTGTAGAGAGGGTATTTTTGAGACGTCTCAACAATACCCTCTCTACCCCTGGCAGGGATGTTTGGCCGTAACTGACCGCATTGCACCTGGCAACAACGGCTGCACTGCACTACCCTGAGTTACATGCCTTGAAGATAAAGGCAGGGATGATTGAACCCATGAGTGACCCATGTGTGTCAAGAAAAGAGCTAGGGCGCGTGTTGGTCACTAACCATGTTGAATCTGGCAACGAAGGCCGCATTCCCCACCCGAGGGGAGCCGTAGTTGTACATGGTGAGATGGATGTTGCGCTCCCTGAGGGATGGAGGGAGGCGAGCAAAGAGAGGGAGAGGGAAGGGAGAATGGGAGGAGGCGACAATAGTTGTACATGGTGAGATGGATGTTGCGCTCCCTGAGGGACGGGGGGTTGGGGGGGGAAACGAGAGGGAGGGCAGAGTGGGAGGAAACGACCATAGATGTACATGGTGAGGTGGATGTTGCGCTCCCTGCGGGATGGGGGGAGGCGAGCAAAGAGGGATGGGAGGAAACGACCATAGTTGTACATAATGAGGTGGATGTTGTGTTTTTGTGGGACGGGGGGAAAGTGGAGGGAAGAGCGTGAGGAGAGAGTGATAAGGGACGAGAGATGGATGTTGCGGTCCCTGACGCATTAGGAGAGAGTGGGGCAAGAGGGAAAGTGGTAGGGAAGGGAGTGAAGCACTGATGAAGGCTTGACGGTTCTTTCCCCGACTTGCCGAAACATGTTTGCAACCTGTTCTCTTTGAGTGAATACAGCCTTTGCGTTCAAGATTTCTCTTAGCAAGGGTTTTTTAACTCTCTTTCTTTACTTGCTAAAGCATTTCCTAACCATGAGTGACTGAGGCATTAGGAGAGAGTGGGGCAAGAGGGAAAGTGGTAAGGAAGGGAGTGACGATTGTTGTACACGGTGAGCTGGATGTTGCTTTTTGAGTCGACTCAGAAATCAACTTAGTACACGCTGAAGGGATACGAGGCGTGGAAGGGAGTCGACTCAAAAGTGACGATTGTTGTACACGGTGAGCTGGATGTTGCTTTTTGAGTCGACACGCGGCAGGGATACGAGGGGTGGAAGGGAGTGAGCATTGTTGTACACGGTGAGCTGGATGTTGTGCTATTTGGGACATGAGTCGTGGATGGGATGAGAAGAAGAACGTTGGGTAGCGAGGGAGGGTGGGGGCGGGAACGAGGGAGGGTAGGGCGGGAGGAGGGAGGGTAGGGCTGGAGAAAAGAGCCTTAGTTGCACAATGAGAAGATGGGAAGAAGGAAGGATGCAGCAACAGATCACAGGAGAATGGATATGGTCACCCACTTGCCCCGCTTGCCCCCTCGCTTGCCCCGCTTGCCCCCCCGCTTGCCCCACTTGCCATCAAACGACTGGATATGCTACTTTTACGGCTGCTTGAAGTGCTCCTCTTGGATCAGGTGAAACAGCAGAACCCACCTGACCAGGTGAAAACAACAGACCCACCTGACCATGTTGGACTGGGAGAGCTCGTAGGCAAAGAGGGTCGACAGGGCTCCTCCCAGGCTGTGACCGGTCAGGTACACCCGCCACGTGTCACCCTCTGATAGGCTGTCAGCTGCATGGATTGAGGAGTCCCCATCAGCACCAGCATCAGCATCAGCAGAACGAGCGGTGAGCGGTGCAGGGCGGTTGGGGTCGGTGATGATGGCAATGAGGGAGCGCAGGCGAGCGCGCACAGAGTCGTATGCAGCAAGGAAACCCCCATGCACCTGCAGTGGGGGGTGGGGGGTGGGGGTGGGAAGTGGGGATTCAGGGTTTAAGGGTTTGAGTTTGGGGGCTTGGGGGACTGTTGTTGGGACACCCAAAGAATAGGCGCACGCAGAGTCGTATGCAGCAAGAAAACCCCCGTGCACCTGCAGTGGGGGGATGGGAGGTTGTGGTGGTGGTGGGGAGGAAGGGGGGATAGGGGTTGGGGGTTGGGACTTGGGGGACAGTTTTCAAGGCCCCTAAAGAAAAGATACACACAGAGTGAACCAGTCTGTGTCTAGGATTCGAGTGACTTTCTGAGACATAGGAGTAGCATGCGCATTGGCATAGAGAGGGAACTGGATCGACTTGATGTGCACACACACACTGCCTGATCTCCTCACCATGACGTTATCAGCCTCATAACATGACATGACGACACCGCTCTCACCATGACGTCACACTGCTCTCACCATGACGTCACACCGCTCTCACCATGACGTCACACCGCTCTCACCATGACGTCACACCCCTCTCACCATGACGTCACACCCCTCTCACCATGACATCCTGGTCAAAATCGCCCGACGAGGTTCGCTCGAAGTCGAGGCTGGAAGGTGAGGAGAGGAGGAGGAAAGAAAGGGTAAAGAAGGAAGAGATTGGAGGAAGTAAGGAGAAAGTAAGGAGAAAGCAGGAAGGAGAAAGGGGGAAGCAAGGCGAACGGGGGAAGAACGGAGAAAGGGTGAAGCAAGGAGAAAAGGGGATGCAAGGAGAAGGGAGGAAGGAAGAAATGAGATTGTTCTGTCAATTATACTATATAAGTTCAGGCTGGAAGGGGAGGAGGACTATGTGAGTAAGGGCAGAGAAGGGGATCAGGGAGGGTCAGGGAGTAAGGATGGTGACATGAGATTGTTATGTCAAGCAACAAACAGCTTTGCTCAAAGTCCAGGCTGCAGAAAAGGAGGAGGATGTTGAGAGAAAATGCAGCTGATAAATGAAATCAACTATATTCCTCACCCCAGCCAGCCTCACCCTTGCCTCACCCTACACTCTCGCCAACTTCACCCCATCCCCACCAGCAGCGCACGACAGGGATACCTCAGTCAACCTCTTTCTACAGCTGCTCACCTGGAGGGAGAGAGCGAGATGTCTGTAAGTAAGTCCTTGGCCTTAGTCTGCGAGAGAGCGAGCAAGAAGGAGAAGGGGGAGGGGAGAGAGGGGCACAGGAGACATTGGTAAATGGGCATTTAAGTCAAGAAGAGGGCACAGTTGCCAGCATACAGCATGGGCTGGAGGCGTGCTGCGCCTCCAGCCCACCAGCCCACCAGCTTAGTGCGGAGCAAGAGGATGCCAAAGCATTTCCCTCACCCGCTCGGTTCCTCGAAACGCCACAACAATCCTTTTGCTCCGCACGTTGGTTGATAAAGCACACTTCATCAAACTCCGACTCAAAAAACACCTTCTCTCCTTGCTTCTCCCTCACCCGCTCGGTTCCTCGGACCGCCACAACAATCCTTTTGCTCCGCACGTCCCACCAGACGACCACTTGAGTGTCGGACTGCGAGTGGTCAATGAAGCACACTTTATCAAACTCCGACTTGACGAACGTCTGCTGGCCGAGGGAACTCGCCAGCATGGTCCATGCCTCCACGCCTCCATCCACTACTGTCTCTGCTCTCCATACTGTCTCCCCCACCACACTCTCCCTCACTCTCTCCCAAACATGGGCCATTCCTCACACACCATCCCAGTGCAACGCATCTCACCTGCTCGGTGCCTCTGAAAGCCACCACAATCCTCTTCACACATCCCGCCAAACCACCACTTGCGTGTCGGACTGCGGGTGGTCGATAAAGCAGACCTTGTGAACCTCCGGCTTGACAAACGTCTGTAACTTTTCTCCTCGCATCTCACCTGTTCTGTGCCTCTGAAAGCCACCACGATCCTCTTCCTCCGCACATCCCTCCACACTGCCACTTGAGTGTCCGACTGTGGGTGGTCCACGAAGCAGACCTTATCAAACTCCGACTTGACGAACGTCTGCTGCCCGAGAGAACTCGCCAGCATGGTCCATGCCTCCACCGCCGTCTCTGCACTCCCAAACATGCGCAGCGCCTCCTCTGTCTCCTCCGCACTCACTACCTCACTCGCTCCTTCACTCACTCCCTCACTCGCTCCTTCTCTCGCTCCCTCACTCTCCTCCCCACCAGTTTCCCCTTCGGACTTAGCTGCTCCTACACTCTTCTTCTCCCCCTCGGCCAATGGCAGGCTGCCAGCTGTGCTGCCAAGCAGGGCGAGCGACCCCAGCACCCCCTCAGTCTGCCGGAAAGCCGCCTTGCGAAGATCATCCAGGGAGGAGGAGAAGGAGGACGGCTCTTGGGAAGCAGTGACATCTGTAGCGGGGCTTGCCTGCCTGTCTGTCCCTTGCCCATCTACCCCTTGCCCGCTGCTCTGGTCATACCAAGGCAGGGTAATCCCGAGGTCCACAAGGCTCTTCCTCAGCTCGGCTCGCCGCTGCTCTATCCGCCCCACCAACGCGCTCGTAGCCCCCTCCAGAAAATCGCCTGCTGCTGCCGCTGCATCAGAGCTGCTGCTCTGTCCGTCCGCCCCTTGCCCTTTGGCCTGGTCGTACCAGGGCAGGGTGATGCCCATGTCTGTGAGGCTTCTCCTCAGCTCCGCTCGCCGCTGCTCTATCCTCCCCGCCACTGCGCCTGCTGCCCCCTCCAGCAACCCTCCTGCTGCAGCTGATGCAGCAGAGCCCAGATCAAACCCACCAGAAGCAGCAGCAGGGGCAGATTCACTGTTGCTGCTGCTTGAACTGCTGCCAGAGGCACCAGTGCCACTGTCAGTACCACTCATTACCGCCTGACTGAGCTGGTCCAGGGTGCCACCTGGCGGGATCCAGCCTGCCCTGAGTAGCACCTCCCTCGCCAACCCCACTGCCTGCCTCACCTGCTCCTCCCTGCCACTGCTACCAGTGTCAGCATTTTCTGCACTGATTTCAGCAGACCCTGTTGCTTCTGCTGCTGCTGCTGCTTGTGGCGCGGATTGAGTTGGGACGACCGAGTCTCGGATCTTATCCAGACTCGTTGGGAAGGCGGATGGGGCTCCGAACTGCTGGATGGCAGACCGGACAAACTCGTACGTGGAAATGGCCGGCGACGGTTGGCTGGTAGCGGGAGCCGAGCCGTCGGTGGGAGCAGGGGAGGAGTCGGCAGCAGGTGTGGAGGAGGAAGGTTGCAAGGCTGAAGTGATAACGTCTTGAAAGCCGGAGACCAGAGGGAGCTGGCCTGAGAAAATGTCATCCAGAGAGGGCAGGCGCCACCTGGGAGGGTGGGGAGGAGAGAGGGAGAGAGGGATGATGTAAAACGGGGTTGGAAAATACGGCAGAAGTAATGCCGTCTTGAAAACCGGAGACCAGAGGGAGCTGGCCTGAGAAGATGTCGTCCAGAGAGGGCAGGCGCCACCTGGGGGAGGGAGGAGGGAGAGGGAGAGATGTGATGTGAAACGGGGTTACGAACTGCCCAAGGCATAGCGTATTTCTCGGTAAGGAGGCTGCAAATATTAGGCCTTGTATGTATGGCAACGCAGGCCTGAGAACATGAGTCGATTTTTGAGTCGACTCAAAAATAAACTCATCACACGCGGATTAGGCCGTGTATGTACGGCAACAACGCTGGCCTGAGAAGATGTCGTCGAGAGAGGGCAGGCGCGATCTGAGAGAGAGGACGGAGGGAGAGAGGGAGAGAGGGGGGTGGTGAAACATGGGGATTGGAAAACTAGCATTAGGATATGACAGGAGAGAGAGAGACCTAGGGAGGGAGATTTTCAACGCGTGGTTGCAAGGCAGCAGTAATGACGTCTTGAAAGTCGGAGAGCAGAGGGAGGCCAGTAATGACGTCATTGAAACGCTATACTAGACCATGCTATTACACATGTCGTCCAGGGAGGGCAGGCGCCACCTGTCCAATGCTGTGCTTCCAAACGCTATGCTAAACCATGCTCCATTGACTAATTCCACGCTGACCAATGCAACGCTGACCAGTGCCACGTTGACCAATGCCACGTTGACCAATGCCACGCTGACCAATGCCACGCTGACCAATGCCACGTTGGCCAATGCCACGTTGACCAATGCCACGTTGACCAATGCTGCGCTGCCTACCGTGCGCCAACCAAAAAGGGGAGTTGTGATTGTAAGAACGAAATCAAAGTGCCTATACAGTCAAGGTGACCCACATCCCAATCCCATGCCTTCCTATACAGGCCAACCACATTCAAAATGTTGAACATCCTAGGTACTCACCTCCTCCTCTCCTCCTCTGCCAGCTCTGCAAGCAAAGCTGCGGTGGCTCAACTCTACCCCCCACCGCACCAGCCCCTCTCACCTCCTGCGCTCCTCCTCTCTCCCAGCAACTCACCTCCTCCTCTCCTCCTCCGCCAGCTCTGCAAAACTGCGGTAGCGGACTGCAAGCTTGAGTGTGGCTCCTCCTCCCGGCCCCTCCAGCGCAACCTCGTGCTCATGCGCCTCCCCTGTGCATGAATGAACACACAAAGAGGAGATGGGTAGTGAGATGGCGTACATCATCAAGGGCTCTCCTGTGTTCCTGTGACAACCTCGTGCTCGTGAGTCTCGCCTGTGCGTGCATGCACACACATACGCAGGATAAGGTACAGACATTTTATGACACGCCTGTATATTCTGAAGGGCCCTTTCAAGCAATCTTGGGCTCGTGGGATCTCGCCCAGCATGCACCCACTTGAGTTGAGCAACCCACATAATGCTTAGTCAAGTTAAGTGGGTATAGATTACAATCTACCCATTATGTGGGTAGTCACATAATGCGTAGACAAGTCATGAGGCGCATATAGATTGCACTTCAACGGAACGGAACGGATTCCGGACAAGTCACCCTGGACATGGGCGTTGAAGGAAACTTGGAAACTCAATGCACACGCTAGGACTGCTAGGTTCTCAAGGCGGTGGGGTAGATTTTGACTTTTGAGTCGACTCAAAAGTCACCCTGGACATGGGCGTTGAAGGAAACTTGGAAACTCAATGCACACGCTAGGACTGCTAGGTTCTCAAGGCGGTGGGGTAGATTTTGACTTTTGAGTCGACTCAAAAGTCACCCTGGACATGGGCGTTGAAGGAAACTTGGAAACTCAATGCACACGCTAGGACTGCTAGGTTCTCAAGGCGGTGGGGTAGATTTTGACTTTTGAGTCGACTCAAAAGTCACCCTGGACATGGGCGTTGAAGGAAACTTGGAAACTCAATGCACACGCTAGGACTGCTAGGTTCTCAAGGCGGTGGGGTAGATTTTGACTTTTGAGTCGACTCAAAAGTCACCCTGGACATGGGCGTTGAAGGAAACTTGGAAACTCAATGCACACGCTAGGACTGCTAGGTTCTCAAGGCGGTGGGGTAGATTTTGACTTTTGAGTCGACTCAAAAGTCACCCTGGACATGGGCGTTGAAGGAAACTTGGAAACTCAATGCACACGCTAGGACTGCTAGGTTCTCAAGGCGGTGGGGTAGAGTTTGACTTTTGAGTCGACTCAAAAGTCACCCTGGACATGGGCGTTGAAGGAAACTTGGAAACTCAATGCACACGCTAGGACTGCTAGGTTCTCAAGGCGGTGGGGTAGATTTTGACTTTTGAGTCGACTCAAAAGTCACCCTGGACATGGGCGTTGAAGGAAACTTGGAAACTCAATGCACACGCTAGGACTGCTAGGTTCTCAAGGCGGTGGGGTAGATTTTGACTTTTGAGTCGACTCAAAAGTCACCCTGGACATGGGCGTTGAAGGAAACTTGGAAACTCAATGCACACGCTAGGACTGCTAGGTTCTCAAGGCGGTGGGGTAGATTTTGACTTTTGAGTCGACTCAAAAGTCACCCTGGACATGGGCGTTGAAGGAAACTTGGAAACTCAATGCACACGCTAGGACTGCTAGGTTCTCAAGGCGGTGGGGTAGATTTTGACTTTTGAGTCGACTCAAAAGTCACCCTGGACATGGGCGTTGAAGGAAACTTGGAAACTCAATGCACACGCTAGGACTGCTAGGTTCTCAAGGCGGTGGGGTAGATTTTGACTTTTGAGTCGACTCAAAAGTCACCCTGGACATGGGCGTTGAAGGAAACTTGGAAACTCAATGCACACGCTAGGACTGCTAGGTTCTCAAGGCGGTGGGGTAGATTTTGACTTTTGAGTCGACTCAAAAGTCACCCTGGACATGGGCGTTGAAGGAAACTTGGAAACTCAATGCACACGCTAGGACTGCTAGGTTCTCAAGGCGGTGGGGTAGATTTTGACTTTTGAGTCGACTCAAAAGTCACCCTGGACATGGGCGTTGAAGGAAACTTGGAAACTCAATGCACACGCTAGGACTGCTAGGTTCTCAAGGCGGTGGGGTAGAGTTTGACTTTTGAGTCGACTCAAAAGTCACCCTGGACATGGGCGTTGAAGGAAACTTGGAAACTCAATGCACACGCTAGGACTGCTAGGTTCTCAAGGCGGTGGGGTAGATTTTGACTTTTGAGTCGACTCAAAAGTCACCCTGGACATGGGCGTTGAAGGAAACTTGGAAACTCAATGCACACGCTAGGACTGCTAGGTTCTCAAGGCGGTGGGGTAGATTTTGACTTTTGAGTCGACTCAAAAGTCACCCTGGACATGGGCGTTGAAGGAAACTTGGAAACTCAATGCACACGCTAGGACTGCTAGGTTCTCAAGGCGGTGGGGTAGATTTTGACTTTTGAGTCGACTCAAAAGTCACCCTGGACATGGGCGTTGAAGGAAACTTGGAAACTCAATGCACACGCTAGGACTGCTAGGTTCTCAAGGCGGTGGGGTAGAGTTTGACTTTTGAGTCGACTCAAAAGTCACCCTGGACATGGGCGTTGAAGGAAACTTGGAAACTCAATGCACACGCTAGGACTGCTAGGTTCTCAAGGCGGTGGGGTAGATTTTGACTTTTGAGTCGACTCAAAAGTCACCCTGGACATGGGCGTTGAAGGAAACTTGGAAACTCAATGCACACGCTAGGACTGCTAGGTTCTCAAGGCGGTGGGGTAGATTTTGACTTTTGAGTCGACTCAAAAGTCACCCTGGACATGGGCGTTGAAGGAAACTTGGAAACTCAATGCACACGCTAGGACTGCTAGGTTCTCAAGGCGGTGGGGTAGATTTTGACTTTTGAGTCGACTCAAAAGTCACCCTGGACATGGGCGTTGAAGGAAACTTGGAAACTCAATGCACACGCTAGGACTGCTAGGTTCTCAAGGCGGTGGGGTAGATTTTGACTTTTGAGTCGACTCAAAAGTCACCCTGGACATGGGCGTTGAAGGAAACTTGGAAACTCAATGCACACGCTAGGACTGCTAGGTTCTCAAGGCGGTGGGGTAGATTTTGACTTTTGAGTCGACTCAAAAGTCACCCTGGACATGGGCGTTGAAGGAAACTTGGAAACTCAATGCACACGCTAGGACTGCTAGGTTCTCAAGGCGGTGGGGTAGAGTTTGACTTTTGAGTCGACTCAAAAGTCACCCTGGACATGGGCGTTGAAGGAAACTTGGAAACTCAATGCACACGCTAGGACTGCTAGGTTCTCAAGGCGGTGGGGTAGATTTTGACTTTTGAGTCGACTCAAAAGTCACCCTGGACATGGGCGTTGAAGGAAACTTGGAAACTCAATGCACACGCTAGGACTGCTAGGTTCTCAAGGCGGTGGGGTAGATTTTGACTTTTGAGTCGACTCAAAAGTCACCCTGGACATGGGCGTTGAAGGAAACTTGGAAACTCAATGCACACGCTAGGACTGCTAGGTTCTCAAGGCGGTGGGGTAGATTTTGACTTTTGAGTCGACTCAAAAGTCACCCTGGACATGGGCGTTGAAGGAAACTTGGAAACTCAATGCACACGCTAGGACTGCTAGGTTCTCAAGGCGGTGGGGTAGATTTTGACTTTTGAGTCGACTCAAAAGTCACCCTGGACATGGGCGTTGAAGGAAACTTGGAAACTCAATGCACACGCTAGGACTGCTAGGTTCTCAAGGCGGTGGGGTAGATTTTGACTTTTGAGTCGACTCAAAAGTCACCCTGGACATGGGCGTTGAAGGAAACTTGGAAACTCAATGCACACGCTAGGACTGCTAGGTTCTCAAGGCGGTGGGGTAGATTTTGACTTTTGAGTCGACTCAAAAGTCACCCTGGACATGGGCGTTGAAGGAAACTTGGAAACTCAATGCACACGCTAGGACTGCTAGGTTCTCAAGGCGGTGGGGTAGATTTTGACTTTTGAGTCGACTCAAAAGTCACCCTGGACATGGGCGTTGAAGGAAACTTGGAAACTCAATGCACACGCTAGGACTGCTAGGTTCTCAAGGCGGTGGGGTAGATTTTGACTTTTGAGTCGACTCAAAAGTCACCCTGGACATGGGCGTTGAAGGAAACTTGGAAACTCAATGCACACGCTAGGACTGCTAGGTTCTCAAGGCGGTGGGGTAGATTTTGACTTTTGAGTCGACTCAAAAGTCACCCTGGACATGGGCGTTGAAGGAAACTTGGAAACTCAATGCACACGCTAGGACTGCTAGGTTCTCAAGGCGGTGGGGTAGATTTTGACTTTTGAGTCGACTCAAAAGTCACCCTGGACATGGGCGTTGAAGGAAACTTGGAAACTCAATGCACACGCTAGGACTGCTAGGTTCTCAAGGCGGTGGGGTAGATTTTGACTTTTGAGTCGACTCAAAAGTCACCCTGGACATGGGCGTTGAAGGAAACTTGGAAACTCAATGCACACGCTAGGACTGCTAGGTTCTCAAGGCGGTGGGGTAGATTTTGACTTTTGAGTCGACTCAAAAGTCACCCTGGACATGGGCGTTGAAGGAAACTTGGAAACTCAATGCACACGCTAGGACTGCTAGGTTCTCAAGGCGGTGGGGTAGATTTTGACTTTTGAGTCGACTCAAAAGTCACCCTGGACATGGGCGTTGAAGGAAACTTGGAAACTCAATGCACACGCTAGGACTGCTAGGTTCTCAAGGCGGTGGGGTAGATTTTGACTTTTGAGTCGACTCAAAAGTCACCCTGGACATGGGCGTTGAAGGAAACTTGGAAACTCAATGCACACGCTAGGACTGCTAGGTTCTCAAGGCGGTGGGGTAGATTTTGACTTTTGAGTCGACTCAAAAGTCACCCTGGACATGGGCGTTGAAGGAAACTTGGAAACTCAATGCACACGCTAGGACTGCTAGGTTCTCAAGGCGGTGGGGTAGATTTTGACTTTTGAGTCGACTCAAAAGTCACCCTGGACATGGGCGTTGAAGGAAACTTGGAAACTCAATGCACACGCTAGGACTGCTAGGTTCTCAAGGCGGTGGGGTAGATTTTGACTTTTGAGTCGACTCAAAAGTCACCCTGGACATGGGCGTTGAAGGAAACTTGGAAACTCAATGCACACGCTAGGACTGCTAGGTTCTCAAGGCGGTGGGGTAGATTTTGACTTTTGAGTCGACTCAAAAGTCAC